GTTACTGAAACTTGGTGGAGTAACAACTCACCACCTATATATAATATCAATGATTATTCACTTATACGTTCTGATAGACAATCTGGTAGAAGTGGTGGAGTTGCGATGTATATATCCAATTTGTTGTCGTATGGAATAAGACCAGATCTTACCTTCAACAATAATTTCATTGACTCAAAAAGTGTAGAAATTAACTTGCATGATAAAAAAAATGTTATTGTTTGTACGGTCTATCGGCCTCCAAATACGAGCGTTGATATATTTTTGGAAGATTCAAACATTTTATTAGAATGGATAAATCATGAAAATAAAGATGTATACTTGATGGGTGACTTTAATATAGACCTGTTGAACTCGGATAATAATTATTATAATACTTTTGTGAATATTTTACAAGCGAATTCTTTCATTGGAGCCATTGATAAACCTACAAGAATTACGCAGAACACATCAACTTTAATAGATAATATTTTTACGAACGTTGTTACTGAACATATGAATGCTGGTCTAGTTTACAGTGAAATATCTGGTCACATTCCTATATTTCTTATTTGTAATAATGATCTCATGTCTCGTACAAAACAAAAGGAAATATCATTGTTTCGTAAATTTAAAACAGAATATATATTATCTTTAAATAATGAAATAATGATGGAAACATGGAATGATGTACTATCTTGTAATGAAGCTAATACTGCATATGGACTATTTTTGGGATTTATTTCAGCCCACTTTGACTACAAAAAAAGTAAAGAAAACCACAAAAACCATGGATAACGAAGGAAATTTTTCGTTCAATTAAGAAACGAAATATATTGCACAAACGTAGTCTCCGTGATCCAAGTAACGAGAATAAATACGAATATAAATGTTATAGGAATAAATTAACAACAATAATTATACTATCTCGTAAAATGTACTATGTAAAAAAAAAATTGAAAATGCTAACGGCAATATGGCATCTACCTGGAAAGTCATAAAAGAAACTCTTCGAAAGCAAAAGACCAAGTCAAAAATTAATATTAACAATGATGGTCAGACAATTTCAGACTCTAAAGATATTGCAGGTTGTTTTAATAAGTATTTTGTAAATGTAGGCCCTATTCAGGCATCGAAAATAAATTCCAATGGTTCAGATTATTTACAATTCCTTTCAAATCCATGTGATAAATCGTTTTTCTGTATGCCTACAAACTGTGTTGAAATTTTGAATATTGTCAATTCATTGAAAATAGGTTATTCTTGTAGTCATGATGAGATGAGTATGCATTTTTTAAAACAAATAGTATTGTAACGCCTCTAGTACATATTTGTAATTTATCACTTACAACAGGAGTCTTTCCGGACTCACTAAAAATAGCAAAAGTAATTCCAATATACAAAAAAGACGACTCTTCTCTAGTTTCAAATTACTGACACTTTTTTTTTTTTTTTTTTTTTGGTCTCGAAATTTGAAAAATTGAAATTTTGTTACGTTGGGGGGGGGGGGGTAAGGTCACCTTTTTTAGGTCAGCCATTGGCATTTTTTTTTTTTAATATAATTTTTAAAAAAAATTAAAAAATCGAAAGGGGGGGGGGTTTCCAAAAAAACATACACATAAAAATAAACTCAAGGGGGGGGGGTTAACCCCAACCCCCCCCCCTTGAGTTTATTTTTATCAAGCTGCGATAGCAAATGGTAAGGATTTACGAGAAAAAAAATTGAGATAAGAATAATATAATGATCCCAAATGATGGTGAAAATAAACACGATGATTTGATCAAAGTTCATCCCAGCTTTATAAAGAACAAATTTGAATAGGCGAAATGTACTTACAAAGCGCTCGTTAGTAGTAGTACAACATTTCATGCCTGATCCTTTTCGTTTCCTTTTTAGATACTAATTAGGCAATTATATTAAATCATGTTATTGTGCACCAATAAGAATATATTCGAAACAATTGTCGATCATAACTACATTTCATTAGCTTACAATTTTGATTGGTGTTGTTTGTAACAATTTCAATGGTTATTGTAAAGAAAAATCAGGAGACAGTAGACTTTATATTTATTTTAAAAAAACAGTACATATATATATATATATATAAGGGTTATCACTGGGGCAAATCACAAATTTGTGTTACGCTAATTCAAGAATTTCGACCTCATCTGCATGTTTGAAAAAAGACCTTTCCCCTTTCTTTTTGTCTTGTTGGTAAATTTGACGAACTGACAATTATTATCTTTTGTTGGTTTGTCATCCGAAATGTAGCGATGCCCCTTTCGTTACATTAAAAAAAAGAAGATTTCATTGTATGGCGACTGATCATGGTGGTGACACCCTCCACCTCCCAAACAAAACAAAATATTAATAATAATCTAAATGCATATCAGTATGTTCTGTATTAGCATAGAGTAATTATGGAATATAAAATTGTACGAAGTTTTCAAAATACACAATTCCTAAATAGATATTAATGGATAGAACCGAGTTGTGCTAAAATGTGGAGGACGCCGAAATGATATCCCCATTTTTGATTATTTTTTCCTAAAAAGGAAGACGGCCCCATTCTGTCTGCCTTTGATATTTTATTTTGATGGATTTTGTTGTGTTATTGTGAGAAATATTTCTGATTTCCTAAGACTTTGCTATCATACTTGCCTTCATACTTAATATCGAAAATGAAATTTTCTGAACTAGTTTATCATGAGCGCAAGAAAAAAAAGGCAAATTTCGACAGCCTTGTCCAGCACCTTTTGATAATGTGCGAGCATTACAATAACGTATTACGTAGTCTCAGTATGATTTGTGCGAGATATACAATATGGCAGTGGCGGATCCAAGGTGGCGGACCCCTCCCCTGGTGCAAAAAATACAGTTAAAAACACGTTAATTTTACCCATTTTTTAGATGGGCCCCTTTCCCTGGCGCACAAGGGAGGGGGAATGCGATTTTGCAACTTTTCGAGGGCCCCCAAAGTGCTCCTTACCCCTCCCCGCTTATTCACCGGCTGGCTATTTCGCCACTAAATATTTTCTCACGAATTGGGTCCCCTCTTTGGGCCCCATCCCCTGCCGCCGGCTGGATCCGCCCCTGGGCCCGGGGGTCCGCCCCCCCCCCCTGGCCAAAAAAGGGGAAAAATTTTACTTTATTTTCTTTTGCTAAAGAAAGCAATAAAAAACAAGTGCCCCCCCCCCCCCAATCCACTGAACGAAATATTTGACGACTTGATTTTCCAATTTCCGGGGCCCCTCAAAAAAAAAAAAATGCTCATCTGACCGTGATTAAATGCCTTAGAACCCCTGAGCTTTCGGGGGCTCTGCAAACTGGATTTCTCCTAGGGGCCAAAGCCAGGCAACTGATGCTCATCTGACAATAATTTAATGTATAGAACCCCTGAGCTTCTTGGGGCTCCGCTCCCTGGACCCGACACCAATTTGTGTCCTGCCAGTGTCATAAATAAGGTATCAAAATATGCTCATCTGACCGTAATATATTGCCCAAAACTCCTGAGCTTCCGGGGGCTCCGCCCCTTGGACCACACGCTTATTCGTGACCTGTCAGTGCCACAAATACGGTATCAAAATATGCTCATCTGACGGTAATTTAAAGTATAAGTCCCTGACCTTCTGGGGACTTCGCCCCCTGGACCCAACACCAATTTATCTCCTGCCAGTGTCACAAATAAGGTATCAAAATATGTTCTTTAGACGGTAATTTAATGTATAAGACCCCTAACCTTCTGGGGTCTCCGCCCCCTGGACCCCACGCTAATTCGTGACCTGCCAGTGTCACAAATACGGTATCAAAATATGCTCATATGACGGTAATTTAATGTATAAGACCCCTGACCTTCCGGAGGCTCCGCCCCCTGGACCCCACGCCAATTCGTGACCTGCCAGAGTCACAAATAAGGTATCAAAATATGCTCATCTGACGGTAGTTTAATGTATAAGACCCCACAAAAAGGACAGGGGTCTTATACATTAAATTACCGTCAGATGAGCATATTTTGATACCTTGTGACACTGGCAGGTGAGGGGTCTTATACATTAAATTACCGTCAGATGGACCCAACACCGATTTGTGTCCTGCCAGTGTCACAAATTAATAAGGTTTTAAAATATGCTCATCTGACATTAATTTATTGCCTATACCCCTGAGCTTCTGGGGGCTCCACCCCTTGACCCCTGCCGAGAAACGTTCGGCGGGGCCTTTATGTTAGAGTGGGATGATGGTTTATTTTTTTGTATACCCCCCCCCCCCAAAGTTTTTGTCAATGCCGGTGTCACCATTACGTACCAATATTTGGCTCGCATAATTTCAAATTTGGCCCCCCCCCCTAAGAAATCATGGATCCGCGCCTGGTTAGTGAAGCCCCTGGGTCTCATCATTACATCCCTGGACAATGTATATTTATCCAGATTTCCCTTTATACCTAAAGGTCATGGGCGTCAATTCTTACGTAATACCTATTGTTCAGGGGATAATAATAATTGCAGGGCCCTCAAGATAAGCCATTTTAATATATTTGGTTGGGCCATTTAAACAAATAAACATGTTAAGCGTCCCTGCCCGCCTCCTTTTTTGGGGCCGCCTTCTATTTATTTATTTTTTTTAATTTTTTTTTTTTTAAAGAAAAAAAACATGAACAACACTTCTAAAATGGATCTATTTCTGATTTTAAAAAAAAGAAAAAAGTCGGAGGCCATCTCGAAATACAGCCCGATTGTCAAGGAAAATGTACCGAGCGGTCATTTCGAGCGGCCATTTTGAAGAAAAAAAAGAAAAAAAGAAAAGGGCCTCCTCCTCCCTATTGTTTCAAAAAAGCAGGACGCTAAACATGTTTTTTTTTTTTTTTAGGGGGGCCTTATACTTAAAGGACCATATTATATGTTCACACTGGATTATATATATTCCCCCAATCCTTGACCTTAAACAACAATGTGCATTATAATTTTGTGTGTGTCATTCGCCTGTTTATCATTATCTTCCTTAATAGACCCTACACCACCACCACCACCACCACCACCAAGTGTGTTTCCACCAAGTGGTACATACCGGGTACCACCAAACTCAGTCTTTGAAATTATCTACGGCACTATGGAGAATGGGGAACCAAGTATTATATACAACGGGACGGAAATCACGGACAGCAATGATGAAGCGTATCGCCTGTTGAAAAACGAGAGCCTAGATTGCACCAGGAGTCTGGTCCACTTGAGCATCCTAATCTTGGATGATACCGATGTGACGTTCACAGAATCCAATTTGAATTACTCGATCGAACCCTATGGTATGTTTGAATCTTTCTCTTGTTAGGTATATATGGACATACTGACTATTCCACAAGGAGGCCCGTATTCTACTGATTCAATTAAACCAGATGCCTGGTCTAAACTTTCTTTTGACAAAAGAAATTCGGACCGAGGTTTAATTTATCTTTCTACTGTTAGAAATATCAGGAAGAAAAAAAATCAATATAATGTAAAATCAAAAATTTGATAAATAAGCGATGTGTAGGTGTACTGGGCGTGTGCAGTACGAGCAGACAATGCGCTAATTTATGACTTGACTGACTTCGTGCCACAAAACCACCAAAAAGTTGCACTGTGTAGTTTTCTGTAATAGCTCAATAAAGGTCTACCGGTATTTGGTTAGGATGGTAAAATTTTAGTTTTCCTGAAAGACTATATTTTTTTACCTGTAATTTCGAAATTTGAGAGCACAGAACGGGCAGTATTTTGTAGACCTTTGTTATTCTGATTTTGAGTCTGTTTTAGTAGTTTTTTTTATAATTCATTTACGACCCTTGCTACTGGTCTAATTTTGATCTCCAATAATTTTTAAACAGAGTAGGCTATTAAATCTATATAATTCCTTGAAGGAATAAAGAAACAGGATGTGTTTAATTAGTCTTTTTAATTGAGTTAGGGACATGCACTTGTGATGAGTATAATATATCCGTTTAAAGCTAAAAAAATCCCCTCTTTCAGAATCAGCCCTAAACCCGGGCCCTAAACTAAAAAAAAAACTTCACTGGCGACTATTTGGTGGTTTTGTGGTGCAGAGTCCCATTTGCGTTAACAATCAAACCGTCGCTCCGTTGAACAGAAAGTTGGTCTTTTGCCAGCAGAACTTACTGAGGCTCTATAGTTTATTCAATTTATCTTATTGTCTGTTTGCTGCGCTTGTACAGTACATAACCATCACAAAACCAAGATATATAACCTGTCTATATACAGAAGGAAATAAGCACAAGAGGGGGGCATTAGTAGAGGTTCTAGAGGTGTTTGGGGGCACAAGCCTCTTAATCCCCCCCCCCCCCAAAAAAAAAAAAAAAAAAAATTCTTCAAGACCCCAACAAATTTGTTGCAAAGCACATGTAGAAAGTGAATGCAAGATCCACCATTGTGCCTCTAAATTCTCATATAACAGCTCCTTGGAGGCATGTACCCCTCCCTAAAACTGAACGGTGAATAATGGCAATGTATTTAGTCTCCTTCAAGAAAGAAACATGTGTCATTGAACATTTTTAGAAAAGCCACCTGCCTCCAGTGGCCACTTTTTCTGTATCCCTTTCTAACCTTAATAGAAAGGTTTGACTGTAGTTCGTGAAGCTAATTTTAGGCATGGAGTCACGCTTTGTGATATCGCACCATCCTTTGCATAAATGTATATCAACAAAATGTTCTACCAAAATATTAATGGAAGAGGAATGGGTTTAAAGAAATTCTAATTCAGATCTCACAAGTGCGGAAAGGATCCTCAGAAGATTCATTTTCATGGTAATTAGATATGAGGCATTATGGAAAAGGGTATATTCAGTAGCAATGGATGATAATTACTGATTATTTAAAGAAAATACGTCTTTCATTATTTTGCATTGTTTATAGAAATTCTCTGTTTGTGTGACTCTGTAGTAATTCATATTATGTGTAAACTGATGTTTCTAAATGTCCATGCTTTATTTATATTGAATCACTTGGGATACATAACTTGTTTGTAGTCTCTGACTCACAGACGTCACAAAAAGGGTTTCCTGTTTTATTTGTTAAAGATACTTACACGGATAATGAAGCTTATCAAAGATGTGAAGAATGGGAAGATGCCAACGAAGTTCATTTATCCTTAAATGAGGAATATGCCTGCAAGAATGTAAGTACAAAAGCTGCTTATGTTATTTTCTTTATTTTGTGTGAGTGGTGTAAAAATACTGACCAGCAGCACAGCACAAGCTTAAAATATAGTGAAAGGGTCAGTTGATTAAGGAGTAATTAGGCATTTTCCTTTGATATTACATGCACACATGTGTACGTGTGGCGTAGTGTGTACATGTAGACGGAAATACATTAGAAATATAATGTAATCACATTTAGATAAAAACAAATTTATGCAATATTTATTACTTCAAGTTATTTCAAAGATATAAAAGTACAAAAAAATGACTGAGGAGAGGGACAAAAAACAGGTAGAGAGAGGGGAAGAGAGAGAGAGAGAAAGAGCAAGTGAGGGAAGAGAGAGGGAAAAAAAAAGGGGGGGGGGGGTAGATAGAGAGAAGGAGGAGGTTAGGGTACAAGCTGAAGCTGTGAATACAATTATGATAACAAATATGCTGTATATGAGAATTAAGGGCAAAGAAAGAGAGGTAGATGTGGAAATAACTAAGATGTAAGGAGGGGAAAAAAGAGAAAGGTAATTTGGGGAGAGTAGGTGTCATGACTCCGACAGAATGTGTGCTTATTTCGTTTTTTGTGGACTATTTATACATGTAATCAGGGTGTTGTATGGCACATATCATTGTACAGGGCCGTCTGGGAGCAGAAACATACTACCACATATGTCATCTTTCCCATGCAAAATTGCTTACAACTTTTATTTCATCACATTATGCTGTTATACTCTTGTTATTTAAGTGTACTTGCATGTACTCATTTTGACTCTATATTTAATTATGCTAAAAATGTCTGCATGACACATTTGAATGAATATACCATAATCATAATAATCATTTTTCTATATTTCATTTTCCACAGGCCTCATCTGGGGCAGTTGGTTCCTTTAGTTCGAACATTTTGTCGAAAAAGAAACTAGTCCAGAATTATGAAACCTGTGCATACAACGACTGTACATACAAGGCCTGTACAGACAGCAATAATTACATCTATGGATGCAGTCCCTAAAAAGTCTGGTTCAAATATGACATGGTAAATCGCAGCATTTTTTCGTTTTTATTTTTATAAAGCCTGGGTAATAATATGATTGTAGGGCCTTCAGGGAGAACGGTAATATTGATGAGGCTAACTTGAGTAAACAAGACATATTATTGTTACATGATTTTTATCATTATTTTGTTAACGTTTATGTTTATTTTATTTCCAGGAACTTTAACGAGTATACAAATATTAAACATAGAATTCAAGAAAACAAAGAACAATCATTAATACAATAACAAAGAAATGAAACCATCAACTAATGCCCATGGATTACTAAATGGAAATTTAATTTCTGAATCCTTGTTGGCTTATGGTATGATGTACATATAATACGCATTACATTTATGTATTTTATAACACATACCTCAGTGAATACGCTTAGGACCTCCAATGTACATGGTTGAGGTTGCCTTTTATTGTTTTGTTTGAATTTTTTTAAACGCTGTGGTCTGTCGTTTCATATGTATCTGAACGAGCCTCAAGGAATCATAGGATTCCTCACGAATCATGGGATACCTCAAGGATCAGGGGATTTGCCAAATGCTTCTAACCCGTCTGAATACATAGTAGAACTAAAAAAAGGGAAGTATCGTGTATTAATTTAGCCTTTTCAAGAATGAATTATGTGATTTATTTTGATTAAGGGAGGGGTACTTCCTCTCCTGTCTTCTACAGATAACGACTAGGAAAACAAAGAAACAAATATTGACAAGAGCAATTTCAAATTGATTTACTGGAAGACAAATGTGCACAAAACAGAATACATGGTATCTCATTTTTTTTATTGGTTAAAAAACAAAGATTTACAGATTACGGTATGCATTACATTTTTTGCAGGAAAAATAAATTAATAATCATTGTTTTACACTTTACAATCATGTTTCACATTACAGTGTAACATTAAAATTTAAGCAGAATTTGTTTTTTGTTTACATTTTGTAAATATTAAACGCTACGCAATACTTTGAGAGTATATTTTAGTCATTCAATTTGGATAATTAAAACAAATGCATTTCAGTATAATTAGCATCTGAAATTTAAGGGGAATCCATAATTTCCTTTAAATTTTCTAAATACTTGGTCACTGGTAAATTGGGATGAAATTCAGTGGAAGTATCTGTCAAATCAAAAGAAAATTGTCTTCAAAGGGTTTTTACAGGATGACAATATCAAGGAGAAAAATATTTCTGTAGCCCCAGATCTCGATTCACCATTTTTATTTTAATCTTATGAAATAATGCAGCGGTATTGAAACTGGGACTGGTCTTAGTTTTCAAATGATACATGCATGTTATTGCCTGCTCTGGTAAGGCATTCCACACATTTATGGTGAGGAAACAAAAATGTATGTGCTTTTTTCCACAAGAAAATATACACATTTACATATACAGTTAACAACTTAATTATTCATACCTCTTGTAAATTTGATGTTGTTTGTGTTTTTTGGTAACTCAAGAATGAATGGTAGACTGGTTGAATTAGGGCCTTTGTTGAATACTTTGTGATGTAAAAAATAAAAAATATGACAAATCAACTTCCCATACTTCCCAGAAATACAAAGCTTGGTATCAAAGGGTATGAATAATTTAAGTTGTTAACTGCATATGCACCATATTTTTTGTAATACATGCATAATTAGCAGTTTTCTCGGTGTAAACTTTTTTTTTTACTCACACGGTATAAGATGCTGTAAACTTACAAAAGAAATAATTTTTGAAAATCAAAACTAAACACTATGAAATGTAAACAAGAATGAGACATTCTTAAGCGTTCAAATTTGCTGAAATTGTGTATAAAGTATATATACTTTGTGGGCTTGAGTGTAAAGGAATAAGATTTACAAGCAGTAGAACATGTTTGGTTTTTTTGTTGATATGATCCTGTATGTACTTTTGAATAGCATGAAATGCCAAGTTATTGCGAGATATATTGTTTTGTAAATGTAACAGAGTGGGATAGAGAAATAATGAAATTTAAAGAATATTCTGCAGTAAGAATTTGTAATGTATAGAAGAAAACTCGTGTCCAGCATTTTGTTGACATTTTAGTGGTTTTTTTAAAATAACAATAATAATAATAGCTAGTTCTTGTATAGAGCTTTTTCGGGGTGTTTGTTGCCATTTGCATTTGAATTTGAATGTCAATTACAATCGTAATATTTTGGCAACAGTTTCTCTCTATCTCATAAAAAAAAAAACATTATAATAAAGCAGCTGTCTTTCTATCACATTGTAGCTACGGTGGGTATGCAATAATTACATATCAAAGGAAAGTGAAAAAGTGTGTGTATATATTTTTTGTATTTTTATCATTTGTAATGATCTTCATATAATTCTGTAGAGAATAGTCTTAGATGCATTGCATGCATGATGATTTTAGATTTCTGAAAGTGCTTTGAAAATAATTTGCATAGGGTGTCATGAAGTAAATGAAGAAATTAAATCTGATTTAAAACAAGATCGGGTAACTTCGTCTCAGATTCTGAAACAAAATCCTGGATTCAGCTCATGCTGCAATCATAATTATACACCTTTAGGTCAGTCAGGAACCCCATGACTTTTATAAGCCGATCGCCTGTCTGATTATTAAGATTTTTAAGATTGAAAATTAAAATTTCATTTTGCGTTTTCCTAACGGTTTTGATAACACTACAGTCTATTGGGGAAAATGAGTCTCGCTTTTTTGAGGCACTTCATGGTCATTTTGAAGCGCAATTTTTTTAGGGCTTCAATATTGCTCCATATTACATACACTGATAACATGTCGGGCCATGCATCTCAGTAAACGATGCATTTAAGATATACTTTAAGACACAAAGTAAACCTAATTTTATTCCATGATATATCAAAATATATATAGAGCTATAGATTACACAATTTATTTATGTCGTTTATTTCCATTTCCAACAAAATAAAATGAAGTACATGGGATTGCATTGTACATAGTAAAACAATGAAACCTAACAATATATTTGTAATTGGTCCACAGTGTACAACAGGCATAAAAAACAGGTTGGTCATGGAGGGGACTGCTGAAAAGCTGGATCACAATCACAATCACAATTGCTCCTTTGAGAATCTTAAATAAATATGCGTCTGCTTGAAACGAAAATACCATTTCTGATTTCATTTAAATAACTGATACATAACGATTTTGTAAATGAATGAATTGCACCATATTCTGATATGCTTTTACTGTGTTATGTTTATTTATTTTTTTTTAAATGGGCAAGTATATCAAAGATAAATAATTAATTGTTTCCAGAAAAGTGCACTTAAAATTAATATGCATGTAATGACTAATGGTGACAGGGTTGAAATATCAAGCTAGTTCCTTTGATAGTAAATGAAATTCACGTATAGCAAAATCAAATATTACCTCGTTTTACATCTATAATCATTAAAGTACGTAATAATAGAGGATTATTTTGGCTCCTGCTGACCTGCAAGCCCTTTACCCCACCATGTCACCCACTACATAACTGATTGTGTACCTATAAGTATTGCATAAAGAATGTAAATCCATCTTTGATTTTTTGAACTCATTCGCGACAATTGTGCACAACGCTCTTCAAAAATTCAATCCAGCTTTTAAAATGTTTGATGATATCTGAATAATGATGTTTGATGATATCTGAATAATGCAAATAAAAAAGGCAACATTTTTGGTTTTAAGTTTATGGAACTGTCATTTACATACAGCTGCTGATATGTCGTCCCATTCATGACAAAAATATTCATGAATTCAGATTGTACTGTATATTTGATCTCTGTACATGTAAAAGTGTGAGAAAACATATATGTTCATTTCACCTGGTTTTATTACTACATAGACTTTTGATTCATGTGCTTTCATGTTATTAAAATACCCAGACAAGTATATGATTTACTTTGTGTTATTTCATTAAATTGCTCCTGCTCTGATTTTTCACATGAAATACTGGAACTTGTATCTTAAAACAACAAAACTCTTCGCTACCAGGGAATTTACCTATCTTATCATATCAGGGCTGAAACACAACAGAATACACAAAAAACACACCTTCTTTTAACAATTCACATGTTTTTTTAAAAAACTATTCACATATGCTGGGTTGTCAAATCCTTAAAACAATATACTCTCTCTCATAGAATTTCAACCAAGGTGAATATGCTAATGGACATGACACAATACACCCATTACACGCATCTCTGGTGCAATTTTTGATTAATAAATTAAATCAGGTCTAGGTATTTCTATTCATAACAGTAATCTTGTTAAGGTCCAAATTAACCAATCGTGTATCTGAAAAAAAAACATACAATAAAGTTTATTGAATTCATTAAAAGAAATGATTTTGCACTTACGCGATCCTTCTTTTAATACACGTTCGTATCCATGGAATTATTAGCAAATTCAGACACAAAAAGTTTATCCTGAAACCTGATAAAGAAAGTAAGAAACGTAAAGGGAATCAGTGTAAAGCGAGCAAGGCATTCAGACACACACACACACACACACACACAAATTTCCTGAAACATTATAAAGAAACTCTATAAAGAAAAAGCCGTCACACGTTTTTCCAATATTCATGGAACTTGCCCTGACACCCTTTTTCGATAAACCAGTGTCACATTTGCCTATTCTTAATGAAAAAAAAAAAAAACTCCACATTTACGTCTATACTGTATACATGTGAGGAATCTTGAAAATGATAAAATATTGGAGAAAAAGTTTCCTTCATTAAAAATTAATGAGAAAAATGAGGACGATGTGAACAAAAACAAATGAAACACACAATTGAGTCACAATTTCCAAAACTGCTGGGGGTGGGGCTCCCAGGCAACCACCCCTCCCCACCCCATATCCTTCTGCATATGCTCCAAGTCGCTTAATATATTAACGGCAGTATGAACAATTTTATCTGAAAATGACGGAGTCCAAGGATTTTAGTCCTTTGTGTCAATTTTAGCCTCTCCTATAGATTAGATCAGATCATATCAGGCAAAATTATACTTTTCAATGTTTACATCAAAAGCAATAATTGGTAACTTGCACGGGGCACTGATGGAATCCCATGAACTTACCCATATTTTGAATTTGCACGAGAAACATGAACAAATAGATAGGATACCAACAGAACTGACCAATGTCACTGCTTTATCATGTGTTTATTTAATGGTGGATTCTCAAGCCACCCTTAAACTTGCACAAAATATCCCACACTCATGTCACGACTCGTATGCCTTGATCAACAGCTTGGGCTATGTCGTATACTGTATTAAGGTTCAGTTGGCGAAATACATAACACCATGGATGCATCAAAACAGGCATTGAGTGATTTCAAGTTGGGTGTTAGAGTTTAGAGCAGTCAAGAGCACTTAAATCTAGCTAAAAATTTGCAGATTAAGAGCCCGATACTGATTTCGATATCGATAGCTTAACACTTACACTGAACTTGAAATCAACATTTGCTTAATCCCTAGGGCCTAGTGTTGGTGAATAGGACATTTAATTTCCGATAGCTAGATACCTCGGTGGCTGGTGTTAATAATTCATATTATTAACACCAGCCATCGAGGTTTCTTCAGCAGACGACAATTTTGCAAAATCGATAACACTAGCTATTGGAAGTTGATGATATTCAGAGGTCAAAGCCTAATTAACGTCAGCTTATTTCTATGTCGGTGTTTAGGTCTAAGTGTTTATTAAACACTAAAACTAGCCCTAAGCACCCAATTTAAAATCACTCATTGTCATAAAATAATGCACAAAGGTTGCACATTGTTTATGAACTTTGCTTCTTCGATCGAAGGATATGGCAAGTTTTAGGAAAATTCAAAAAATTATTGATTGACATGCACTGTACCATCAGTGCACTCCCACTTCATGACTACACCTCTCAGTGTCCCGCATTGGCAGGCCACACTACATGTCATGGCGAATTAAACCATCTTGCATGCAATAGTCAATGTGGCTTTACTGCATGTCTTATATGCTGTACGTATGGGCCCTGTCTTATGGAAGAGTTGCCATTGGTTTCAAATAATTTGCAATTATTGATATCGATTGCATCTCCTATCTGTTTAGTACAGAGTTGCATTTGATATCAATAGGCCATTTTCGTTATATTCAAGTTTAATGCACAAGTCTTTTTTTAACCCTATCTAGCCTGGGCTATTTTTAAACTGCAAAGCCGGGGGGGAGGGGGGGGGGGGGGGGGGGGGCTTCTATCACTGCTAAAATTTGCTTGCATGTCAAATGAAGTGTATAGATTACTATGGTAATTTCACACATTTTGATATTTATGGTAATTTATGCAACTAAGGTAATAAAATCCACACTTTTACCCATAAATCATATATTCTTCAAATTTAAACATTAGTTTTCTTTAGAACATTTCTTTAGGCCCCCCCCCCCCTCCCCCTGGGAAAAAACGTGTAATTTTTTACCTTTTTTTGGAGATGCCCCGCCCCCCCCTGGCACTCAAGGGGGGGGGTGCGATTTTTCAAATTTTCTGGAGTAAAAAATAAAAATAGTGCTCACTACCCCTCCCTCCCCCCACTGAGCGAATTTTCGGAAGCAAGCAAACAAAATGGGCCCCCTCTCCTAAGAAATCCTGGATCCGCGCCTGAATGCGCCTGTAGTGCTGTAAAAACCTTTTCACAACTCTGTCTGAGTGGATAAAATGACTTTCTTTCTGATAACTGCAGGTACTGAAGGCACCATACCTCTCTCTTGCTTCCACTGTTGTCCGTCATGATACACAGTTCTACAGTTGAGATGTCCAGTTCTTCCAATATTTCCTCTTCCAACTCTTGTTCAGGTTCTTCACAGTAGAAATATCAGAGATAATCATGGGCTTAAAGTCAAAGAATTTACATTGTGCTAGAAAGAGGCTATCAAGTTTGTTAGCTAACACAGTAGGAATGTTTTTGCACAGTATAAGGTTTTTGAATCATCAGAATTGAGAGAATAATAAAGAAAATCTTGGTGAAAATCACAAACAATCACAGCACTGAGCACTTTAATACATCATACATGTATATAGGACTACAAAACCATGGGACATCATAACCTGGTCAAAAGTTGTAACATATTTTTGAATTTGTATGGAATAGGGCATTTCAAGAGCAACCATTTCCATTGGATGCTGATGCTGTAATGGTATTTATCACAGGGTAAGAAAGAGAAGATGAAAGCTCACAAAATTACTAATTTGTTTTAAACCTCTACCAGGGCCCTGTATTATATAATCGTAATTATTTTGTGATTGATATCAATCACAACTATGTACATAAGAGATAGAGGACTGCAAAACTTGTGATTGATTCAGATCAATTACAACTCAATATACATCAGCATTTGTTTTAATACATCAATAACCCATTTCTTGGTACGGCCAGATCTAAACAGAATGCCGGTGGAATTTAATCTTTTCATTTTTGTGGCCTGCAAATGGTAGTACCTTTAACATGAGGGTACTACGGCTTCTCCAAAACACACACATACAAAAAGTTAAGGGGGGGTTCAACCCCCACCTGCGTACGCGCCTGTTGGAAGACATCGTCTTTTTTTCCCTTCCAACATCAATTGATGGGCACCTTCCGTTTTGGACAGCCTCTTTTTATATCTTGGCTTAAAGATAAAGTTGAGTTCTGGTCATGCCATTCCATTGTAAAAGAAAGGTTGTGGAGTTGATCAGAAAGGTTGATCATCTGGCATATAAGTATTGGTGTGTACTGCAAGTTCCTGGAGGCATCAAAATGATAAGAAATTTGGCCCAGTCTTGGTAGAGTGACAAGCACTGTACACAGAAAGATGTATATGGGACTACATGAACATGTGGTATAAAAATCTGTTCTGATTTTTATGATGTTACATGCCATATCTAGAATATTAAGGCATTTGAAGAGCCATGCTTTTCTGGCAACATAATGTATCTGATGTTCTTCCACACTTGCACGATACAATGATAACGCTCACAAATTATTGTTCACTTCTTTCCAGAACTCAACCTTCTCTTTAAAGCCTGCATGTAAACACCTGCCATAAGTGTAGACTCCACATTAAACTATGAGGAGAAAGAATATTTACATAGTAAAATAACAAAACAAACAAACACAAAACAGCAGTTCACTTTCTGTTAAATTGCAACCAAAAATTATAGGATAGAATTAATCACGTTTAGGGGTCATATGTCAAAGTTGACGATACTAGAGCAAATAATTTCAAGAATAGATGTACTACACAGACAGGACTGTAATTCTAGACTTAGTACCTTGTTCCACTTGTTTGGGCCAGAGTCTAATCACGAGTCTGGTCCACCACCAGAGCTTCTCTGGAACGACTGGTTCAGGGATCTCCTTTTATTTACGTGATTGCTCCACTGTTTACCAAATCACAATAGTTTTTTCTGCCCTTCTCTTTTTGATCAATTTTGGCCTTTAAAGCTGTTTTGTGTCTGGCATTATTTTGTTTTGTTTGAAGCTTCACTGACTAGGAGATATATGGTTGTGAATTAATAAATGGATTGAAATCTCTTTTGCAATAAATGTATACTGCATTATTATGTTGTTCATACCGTGTGACCTCTTCTCCTCACTCCAAAAATAACCTGATAATATATTATGAATAGCACAGAATATAAGACATTTGATTACTATTATTATTACTATTTACCTTTTTGTAATTATTATATATTATTATGACTATTATTATTATGAAGATAAAAAATGTAGCTATATATTGAGATACATTATAAACTCCAAGAATTGAGATCAAAAGATTTACTGCATCACATCATCTTCCTTTCTACTATCTCTCCTGTACCCCCCACCCCCCCCCCCCCCCCCTCGGTTCCCTCCCCACTAGGTAGAAGGAAGAATTCACTCCCAGTGTAGTGCCTGGGTTCCCCCATTTTATTTATATTTTATGAGTATTTTTAAGTCAAGAACTACATCTAGTTTACTTTTAACGATCTAACACTATTTATTAAACATAATATATATCTTGATCTTGTGATCTAAGCCTCCTGCCCCGGATCCCTCTTCCCAAGATCTTTTCCTTTACATTTTGAGAGACTCTGTACCCCCGGTGCACCCTCCTCGCCAAGTTTATTTGATACCGGTCCCAGTCTGTGCAGTATCGCCGCCATATTATAACTCTAGATGATCCGATACCATAAATATTGCCATCTTAATATATCTCAAATTATTTTTGTTTTGTTTTGTTCAAGCGATCGGCACACTTGCAGTTGCAATGATGACTTGTTAACTACTTTTTATGCTGGTTTTTCTTTTTTGTTTTTTTGTTTTTCTTAGAGGCAGCTGACTTTATTTCTTGCTTCCCTTCTTTCTTCCCTCTGTTAGCGAAGGCAATGATAAAGTGGGGCAATTAGGGAAAAACAGAAATTTTACACATTTGGAGATTTTTTTAAATATTTTTTTAAAATGCTATCTTCTTGGCTCTCATTATTTTCCTTTTTTCCAGGTTATCTCCTCATATCTTTACTCAGAAAAGCAATACAAACAATAATTGCCATCGGACTATCTGTAAACAAAACTACAAGTTGTAGATAGTTGATAAATTCAAATGTTGCATAAACATTATCTCAACCCCCTCCCCATTTTTTTTTCTCTCTCTCTCTCTCTCCCTCTCCCTCTCTCTCTCTCTCTCTCCCTCCCTCTCTCTGGGGTTTCAGTTGCCCTTTCTCCGAATCAATTTGAAGTTTCGCACCGTTTTTTAAGCTTGAATTAATTGTGCCTGAACAGGAAATTTGCAATCATAGCTGGTTAATGTAAAAATCCTTAACTGAAAAAGGCAGAAATCTAGCTATCAGCAGAATTGCTCCTTTAATTGCCCCTTCAAATGTGAAAGTGGTAATTAGCCGACAATTAGATGATTATCTATGTTTGGATTAAGCAACATTGCTGACGAACTGATTTAATTTTTTTTTTTTTTTTTTTTTTTTTTTTTTCTTTACCAAAGCCCGTAATTGCAACGGATTAGGGGGAGCACGGGGGGGGGGGGGGGATCCCCGTACTTAATAATTGTACCCCTCCATGCCAGGGACTTTCTCTATAGCACACCGTATACCCATCCCCATCACTATTGTTTCCAACATCCGGATGATGGCGCCAAACTCTGAAAAACCATGGACAAACGAAGGTCGTTTGTGTAATTTTAATTGGGCAGGAACGAATGAGTGTGATCTGTTTACGTCATCGATCGTGCACGCGCGCGCGCGCGCATCCATTAAAGTGGCACGTTCCCGCCAGTGTAGTTATCGCTGCTCTAGTCATAGCCATCTTGGTTCCGAAGATCGACTTCTAATTTGCATACAGCTGTCAATCAAAGTACGCGCGGCCTGGCCTGCCTTCGCCAAGCCAGCTGATCGCTGACGATTGCGACGTCACGAAAGTGGGCGGAAACAGCAGCCGAATCTTAGAGCCGAACTGCGATTGGCATTACTTCGGCACATGTATGCGATAATCGGTATTGTCCGGGCATTCGGAACATGCCATCTGCGTAAGAGCCGTATTCTGTTGGTGTCAATAGGCAGCTAGCACCGTCCGCCAGCGGGTACGTATTTTGAACGCCCTCTGGAATACGGGGAACATGCCTCTTTAATATTTATCACAGATAATGAGAACAGCGAAGTTGGAAAGACTGGCAGCTAGCTCATCATCTCATGTGATTTATTTTTTGTTCGACCTGATTCTTACCTGTAAGTTTATGATTTCAATTTTCCATTCATTCAGCGCTTTTATATTGTATAGCTGTCATGTATAGATAATTATTTGTAAAGCAGATCCTAAAATCATGAAATTTAAGGTCTAACAAGTTGAACCATTGAGTGTATGTGGAGCGGTTATTACACTGTACATGCACGGGAACCTTTGGGGTGTGATGCTTGGTGCTGCCCCCTTCGAATCTACTTCAACTTGTGCGGTGCGGTGATGTGATTGTGATGGGGCCTGGAGAAATAATACACGTTACTTTGAAGGGGTATAGACTAAACCAGAAAAGTGTAGTATTCTAGTTATTATTTATATGTCGATTGCTATAGCAGTATGCTGTAGGATGATAAGAGAAGAGAAGAGAAGACCTATCATCAAGTTGGTGTCTGAAGTATTATAAACATGATATTAAGCATAAATCCTACATCAGTACGAGAATACGGGGGTTAAGGTTAGAGTTAGGGTAAAATGACAAAAAATGACCGTTTTTGCAGCTGGGCCGAGTTGTCCCCTGGTCCGAGTTAGCCCTGATCCGAGAATACACCTGATGGTGACCTGTTCTTACACTAGCAAAGAAGAAGAAGATTCCTACTTCAGAGTTCAGTCTTAAGTTAATGTGACTGTCTGCAGCAAAGAAACATACCCTATTATTATTTTGCTCAGTTTCAAGCAACTTCAAACTAGCTACTTCAAACGTACGATATCATCAGAGGAACTTGGAAAGTGATATCAAATGTGTTCAAATCAAAGAAAAAAAATTGTTTATTGTTTAATAAAGTTTATTCCTTTTCCCACTAGTTAGATAAGATTTCCCAAGCAATAAACAAAAAGATGCACAACTTGTATATACACACTATGCACTAATCAATCGTGACCACTATGAGAGACACTACACCACAATATCCTTGTTTAGTTGCTGAAAAGGCTTTTGACGAGTACCAGCATAGACGTAGACGTAGATCACAATCTGTATATTTCTTGACTATTCCAAGGCATTTGATAAGTTATAGATCATGAAATTTTGTCAGAGAAATGATCACATTTTGGTGTGAGGGGCACAGCTCTGGACTGGTTTAAGAGCTACAGTACTTAGCTGACAGGAAACAATTTGTTTCTTTAAATGGTTTGATTCAGGGTTACAGAAAGTCACATGCGGCGTTCCTCAGGAGATGTACAATGTATCATCTAATAACATATTGCTGGATAGGATATCATCACAAAAATTCCAATATCTGTAAGACATTGTAAAAGAAAAGTGGCGTAATTCATCAATTGAAATCAATTGTTCCTAAAGACATTCTTCTAATTAGTGCTGTAACATCACGGATATCTCCAATTCCGTTTAACCGCCTGTCAAAACCGGACGGTTTTCGGTTAAACGATTTATTAAATTTTTTTTTTTTTTTTTTTTTTTTTTTTTTTTTTTTTTTTTTTTTGCCGTGTGAAAAAGCTGGAAGGTGATTTAACTGAAAGCGCCGATTTGTGCTCGTGAACTAGTCACAAATAATAGCAACAATGTCGTTTTAGAATAATGTGTAAGATCATTAAAGTAAATTAAAAACAGTAGAGGACCTACATGTAGGATAGAACCTTGTGGTACACCATGTGTTAAACTTGGATGAATATATATTGAGATCTATTACAAAGATTACTTTCAAACCAAGATGACAGACAAATTGGAATATTGTTCTAGTTTCCAAGTGGTAAGTCATCACACCGATTACTGAGCTTGGAGACATTGCCAGGCATAGTGCCAGGTGGAGGGGCATAAATCGAAACTTTAAAAAAAAAAAAAAAAAAAAAAAAAAATATTTAAAAAGAAAAAAAAAACAAAAACAAAAACAGGAAAACGAAACCGTCCAATTGAAAACGGAATCCGCCATGGGCGGTCGGATACCGGACGGTTAAACGTTTGACTACAGCACTACTTCTAATTCTAGTAATGTATTCAACATTAATCCTTCCCATCTTAATTATGGTGTTCTTGCTTGGGTTAAATCCTCTCAAAACTAACCTTGAAAAATTATGCTTGATTCACAAGAGAATCGTAAGAATTATTTGTAACGATAGCTTTCATACGCACATTAATCCGCTTTCTTATAGTATATACATGTATACGCATAGAATTTTAAAGGTGCAATTTATTTATCACCTTCAACTGGGTTCTCTAATGTACCCTGTATAACTTTTATTCTCTCCCCTTGTTGTCTTGTGCTCGTTGTGTGCTGTGCCTATTGTCGATGTGCTGTAGTCTTTTATTATTTCATATATTTTTATGCCTCCGCCACCGAAGGTGGTGCCGGAGGCATCATGTTTTCGGGTTGTCCGTCCGTCCGTCCGTCCGTCCGTACGTCCGTCCGTCCGTCCGTCCGTACGTCCGTCCGTACGTCCGTCCCGTTTGACCGTTATCACAATATCTCAAGAACCATTGAAGATTTAAACTTAAGACTCGGGAATAGTATTTATCACCATAGGAAGACGATCTGATTAGATTTTGGAGAACGTAGGTCAAAGGTCACAGGTCACAGAGGTCAACTTATGAAATTCCTTGTATTGAGTTTGTTAGCGCGATATCTCAAGAACCATTTGAGATTTAAACTTCAAACTTAAGGATAGTATGTATCACCATAGGAAGACGATCTGATTAGATTTTGGAGCACGTATGTCAAAGGTCAAGGGTCACAGAGGTCAACTTATGAAATTCCATACATTGAGATTGTTATCATGATATCTCAAGAACCACTGGAGATTTAAACTTCAAACTTAGTGATAGTGTGTATCACTATAGGAAAACAATCTGATTAGATTTTGGAGCACGTATGTCAAAGGTCAAGGGTCACAGAGGTCAACTTATGAAATTCCATACATTGAGATTGTTATCATGATATCTCAAGAACCACTGGAGATTTAAACTTCAAACTTAGTAATAGTGTGTATCACTATAGGAAAACAATCTTAGTAGATTTTGGAGCACGTAGGTCAAAGGTCAAGGGTCACAGAGGTCAACTTATGAAATTCCATACATTGAGATTTGTTATCATGATATCTCAAGAACCACTGGAGATGTAAAAACTTCAAACTTAATGATAGTGTGTATCACCATAGGAAGACAATCTGATTAGATTTTGGAGCACGTAGGTCAAAGGTCAAAGGCCACAGCGCACATTATGAATGCAAAAACAGCTTGTGATCGCGTTATCTCAAGAACCGATTGATGGATTCATGCCAAAATTAGGTCATGTTTGTTACTTGCAGAGCCAATGAACTGAGTAGATTCTTGGTTCATAAGGTCAAAGGTCAAAGGTCATGGGCCCATTATGTATGCAAAAATAGCTTGTGAACGCATTCTCATTAGAACTGACAGATGGATTACTATTTAACTCAGAACATCTTGCAGAGCCAATGAACTGAGTAGATTTTATGGTCATGAGGTCAAAGATCAAAGGGTCATATATGTATATGAGAAATTGCTTGTAATCACAATATTCTGAGAACCTGTCAATGGATTACCATTGAACGTGAATTCAATTTTTTTTTTCTGTTTTGGTTTGTAAAATTGCTCTATAACGGAGGCATCATTTTCGACTGCGCGCAGTCGAATTCCATCTAGTTTCTCTATTTTTCTCCTGTCTTGTCTCTAGAGTCTAGTCTCCTGATTTTGTGTACACTTCTTGATTCTTACACCACCTTTTTCTTAAAGCTAGAGACCAGTTATGGTCATGCGATTGCATTGTGAAAGAAACGTTGTGAAATCGATCAGAAAAGGTTGATCATCTAGCATATGCATTTCACACATGCATTTCATATCTCTCAACAGACGAGAGATACACTAATTTACCAAATATATTAATTAGTAGGTGGTTTCCCGTCAAAATTGTTATCATCATGTAATATTCGAAATATATTCTTTCACATGATTGGTAATAAGAGCTTCCATTTCATTTTTTGAAATTGGGGCGTTTCCAATACTGGTCTTTACCTTTAATGTATTCTTACATGTAGGTAGTCACAAATATGTACTCCCATCATGTTTAATTGTTTATCTTGTTGCTTATTTAGGTACATATTTTACCAAACAATTATTTGGTCCAGAAGGGACTCTAAAACTTACAAGCTCTGCTTTTACCAGGGTCTCCTCATCTTTCTCTTAGTTCATTTTAAAAAAATCATTGCCGCTTATTGCCATGAAAAAATAAAAAAAATCTTTGGTTGACAAGGTGAAATTGTTTGGACATGGGCATTGCTCCAAATTTCTTCTGTGTACATGGACATACATGTAAATTGTGACAGAAAAGGATGGCATAAAGGCTACATGTATCCATTTTTTTTGCATTAAATAAAGATAGTATTCACTTAAAAGCTACAGTATACATGTACACTGTACAGTAGGTGTTCTGAACGTGCTCTACTCTGTACATTGGTAACGGTTGCTGGGTAATAAATTATTTTGAAAGCTCTTAGGAAGCTCATAGGGATATTACATGGAAAATACATGATGTGCATTGTTTTAGGAGAAGAGCAGTCTGTTGTGATGAAGGCCTCAGTCTGTACTGTTGTCTGTTGAGATAGTTGTATTGAATTTGAGTGAGTTGGCAGTAAAAAAAAAAAAAAAGATTTTTAATGCAGTTTCATGAATTTGTGCAGGTTAGGTATCTTCAATATGTGCAAATACATGAATGGAAGAAAGAAAAAGAGCATTCTGTACATCCTGCATTGTATTAAACAAAACATGCAACTTTCTTCTGCACTGACTGCAATAAAAAAAAAATTAAAAAAACATTTTCACTATGAAGACATATAGTACACTTTAAATAAACAATAAACAGTTTGGCAATATTTTGTTTGGTTAGATATTTATTGACTTGTGTTATAATATATCAGGGAATCTTTGACATAACATTCATATTTTGCTCATTTCATATCTGGTTTGCAGTCTTACTGACCATATTTTACATTTGTTGCCCACATACATGTACATGTACATGTGTTTACAGCATATTTGTAGTCTTGTTTGACCCATTACATGACGTACATTGTAAAATGTACTGTACATACATGTAACTGAACAATTTTGCATGGAAACTTACTAAAGATAAAAGTAACTAAAGCCAGTGAATTATTTTTTTCCTAAAAATACTACTTGTTACTGTTAGTAATGAAACATTATACAGGGTGTACCTTGTATTTATTTTGAACAGCCGGTTCCTAATGTATACATGTTTGTACAGTATCTGTTATTTAAGTAAAGCCATGTTTTGAATGAAATTGTATAGCATCATCTCACACTGAACTGTTCCTCTCTTCCACATGCACACTCTCTCTCTCTTTCTCTTTCCCTTTCCCTTTCTTCTTTTTTCTCTCTTTCATTCTCTCTCTTGTCTCTCCTCTTTGCCATCCAGTATGATGTACGTTTAGTTTATGTCTGCTACCAAAAATAAACAGTTTTTATCTGAAATTTTTAACAATTGATGATCAATTGATTTTAGATCTGTTCTATTTATAACACATTGATTGTTGTCATGTACATTTTCTAGAATATATTTAATTTAGTATTGTCTGTTGGGAGCCAGGGGAGTACAAATAATCAAGTTCCCCTGGCTCTCAACAGAGAGGTTAAATTAGATTACATTGTGAGGTTATTTATGTTATTTGTAGTTATTTGTCTATGATATGTTAATGTATTGTTATATTTTATACAAATGTGAGCCGTAAGACGATTTTTATGCCTCCATTTTATTTTGTGCATGACAATAAAGAAATTCAATTCAATTCAATTCAATTTTTCTATGAAGGACTATATTAGTGGGAAAACATATGAAAGATACTTATTCTGCTTCGTCATTAAATCAAATTAATCCTTGCTTTCTTGTGCAGGAAGCCATTACCACCTCCGTAACCATGGCGACAGAGAGCGGAGGACATCAGCTGCAGCTCGCAATAATTGATGTGGAAGGGATGACATGTAACTCCTGTGTGAGGAGTATAGAGGAACGCATGGGTGATACCAAGGGAGTCTATCTTGTGAAGGTAATCTTACCGTTCATGATCATGTGGCACTGTCACATGTATGAAAGAATGACAGTCTGCCAGAAAAGAAACATCCAATCTTCTTACCAGTACACATTAAAAAGTAGATCATCTTGTGGAGATAATTTGGCACTGTCACATGTATGAAAGAATGACAGTCTGCCAGAAAAGAAACATCCAATCTTCTTACCAGTACACATTAAAAAGTAGATCATCTTGTGGAGATAATGAATAATAATAATAGTGAGTTCTTGTATAGCGCTCATGTATGTGACACTCCCGGCGCTCCCAATTATTACCCTGGCTTTATAAGATTCATGAAAAACACTTACATATTGATGGAAGAATAGCAGTGTCATCTGTCTTTTACAACATACATACCCTTTTCTTACCCTTAAGATTAAATAATTATTGTATGAAGATAATCTTACATACATGTATATTATTTATAAACAAAATATCACTAAAAACATGTACATTTAGATGAAAATACAATGCCATCCGCCTTTTTACATCTACTCTTCTTAGTCGTAATTGGAAGTTTTATCTTGTGCAGATAATATCATGAGGTCATGAAACACACATTGAAATTGTAATGTTGTCTGCTGCCATTTACATTTACTCTTCATAACACATGGAAAGGATTTTATCTTGTGGAGGAGATCATGAAACACATAGTGATAAAAGAAATACAATCAATGTCATCTGCTATATGAGTGTTTCTTTTGAAGGTAGACTGATATGATCATAAAAGACATATATGAAAGAATAAGACTGTTATCTGCCTTTTACTTTTTACCCAGATGATCATGAACGCTCTTACTTGTCGATAAAAGAATAGCAATGTAATCTGCCTTTTATTAATCCACTGAGACTCGTACCCATGAAAAGGAATTTCTCCTTTTTCTTGGGAAGATAATCTAATATGATCATGAAATAATGAAGCACTTACATGCTGATGGAACAATAACAATTCTCAACTGCCTTTCCTTGCCTCTTTTTCTCTCTTCTATAAACCCCTTTACATACATGTGCATGTATACCAGTATCTATTTTTTGATTGAATAAACTTCAAATGTCAAATTTCAAATTTATTCATGTTTCCAACAAAACATTAAAAATCAATTATAAGCATTTAAAACAAATGTGAGAAATACATGTTGGAAACAGAGGGGTCTACTAAAAAGCAATGCTTGTACAAGTGTGAACACCTCAAATGATACTTAGGAATAATTAAATTAACTAATTTGTAACTACAAAGGGAACTACAAAATAGGGGAATATAAAGTGTACATACAGTATAAAGGGCCTATAGTAATTAGTATTGTTCAATAGCAGAATATGGTATTTTGGTTTGGTGTGAGAATTCCCATTGTTGGCAGCTGTTGCTTTACGGAGAACATTTTCAGATCAAAGATTTTAGTATACAATCATCTTATCATTGATAGCCCCACTAAAGCTTATTTCAGACCAAATTATCAGAGTGGACTTTCCCTTTAATCATGATAATTTCCTGATCATGAAATTCATGGTCAATGTTAAAGGTAATACAAAGTTTTGGCAAATTTTGAAAAATTGGGTGGACAGTGATTCATTACAATTTTGATATACATTGTATTTGGATGCCACTGTGGATGTATTATAAGCTCTAGAAAATTTAGCCTCTAAAACACTTCTGCTTTTGAGAAAAATTGAATATAAAAATTTACCAGTGCTCCCAGGAAATTTTGATAAATTTCAAATAGCGCCCTTGGCCCTACAATGGTAGCTGCAACCATGAAAATCTCAGAATATGTAGTTGTGATATATAAGTTCCCAACGAGAATAGCTAATCGGTCAAGAAACATTGTTTTATAACTTAATTAATATCTTGACCTTGAGAGGGAGCTATACAACCCAAAGAGTTTATAATTTTACAATTTTATAACTTTAGACTCGATTTCAACCGCGACAACGATCACTGAATATTGTAGGGTCGCATATGCTTCCGATATGTTCATTTGAACCAAATTCATGACCCCATACCAAAACTTTGTATTACCTTTAAAGTATAAACAAATATATCATTTGATTTAATGTATGTTTATTCATGTAAAGACTACCAGCAGTTGTACCTGTAGGTATTGCAGTTTATAGGACATAACATTAACTAGCGAGAAGGCCAAGTAATATTGATTCTTAGTTTCTTGTCCTAATTTCTGAGAATGAGAAGGAGGAGGTTGCATTGCATTTGATATTTTCTGTACAAACAGTTAACAAATGAATTATTCATACCCTTACCAAGGTTTGTATTTTTTTTTTGTATGTGAAAAATTTGTTTGTCCTGATTTATGTTTCTTGAGAATAAGACGTTAAAGCTTAAGAGGCGGTCCAGGAACGGAGGGAAGAGGAGACAAGAGACTAGAAATTAATTTTATGTGGCCTACCGGACCAGTAATAGAAATTGTCTAGGATATTCTGATGATCTTGAATTCTTTGACAAATAGATGATGGTGACTGATCATGCATAATTGCATATCATATTCGACAGAAGTACTGGTACATGTACTTTCATATTCATAGAAAAGAAATCAACCATATCGTCTCTTGTATCAGATAATCGCTGTTCTTTGTATTGTACTCCTACAAGTTTGCCTGCATTATCATCAAGCGAAGGTCAACTCTGCATACATGTATATTGGGCCTACAATACATACGGTTGTGTGCATACATGTATGGAGATGCTCCTTAATGAAATTTCAGCACTGATTTATGGGTGTCTATGTTTATCTTGTCTTTCTGAGCAAGATAAACAATGTGCATGTCCTGTGGTGCTCACCGGCTATACATTTCCATGATACGCTTGTAGAATTACATGTAGTTGTGTGCTGTACATTAGCACAGTTTTTAATTTTAATGAATGTCGTTATCTTTTATAGAAACTTTGATTGTAACAAATAATAATAAAGATTCAGTTATGTTGTGTGCTGTCACAGTTTGTGTATTATATTGATAGCATTTTTAGAGAAACATCTTTAATTGATATTAAAAATCAACATTGGTGACTTAAATTTATGTCACCCCAAGAAAGATTAAAGTCCGTTCCTAATAATCCTGTTTAAGAAATAATAGACAAATGCAAACAATCAAACAGGGATAATTATCTTCATGGTTATGTTGTGATGTACTTTGGACATGTTGTGGTGTAAAATGAGGCCTTGGTGATGTAATTTTCTGTCCTAATAGATCATTAATCCAAGTACATGTAAGCAAGTCTTGATTATATGATGAAGAGGTAAGACCAAAGAACAGTTATTAGCAATCATTTAATGGCACTACATGTATGTTCACGTCTGTACGGATATCTCGGTTTATTTGTCTAATCTGACACTAATTTTATTATCAGTAAGAGTTTGATTAAACTCATAATTTGTTTGTTTTTGTCTTGTGTGTTTTAATACAGGTGTCGCTGTCAGAGAAAAGAGCATTCGTGACCTTTGACCCTACAGACATTGACCAATCAACATTGAAGGATGTGATCTATGACATGGGCTTTGACGCTTGTTTAGGAAGCAATGCATGTGGTGTGGAATGTGGTGTCGTATCCATAGCAGGAATGACATGTCAGTCTTGTGTGAAAAAGATTGAAGAGAAGCTATCGGGACTAGGCGGTGTGGAGAAAGTCAGAGTTCTTTTAGAGCGGAACTGTGGAGTCATTATGCTAAACAGGAATAAAATAGGTCTTCTGGATATTGTAGGGGAGATCAGTGCTTTGGGATTCAATGCTGGCATTGCAAATGGAATGCCCTCTGAAGACGATGGGAAAAACAACAAAAGGGTTGTGATTGGAATCGAAGGGATGACGTGTGGCTCGTGCGTGAAGTCCATCGAGGGTCATGTAGGGTCACTTCCTGGTGTGAGCACAATCAATGTCTCGCTGGCCAACAAAGAAGGGATCCTTACCTATGATGCAACCCTGACCAGTGCAGAGAAACTCAAGGAGGCCATTTATGACATGGGCTTTGATGCTACACTTCCTTGTAGCACCCCACCATCCCCAAACAATGGGACACCTCTAGCCATGGTCATTGTAGGTATCGAAGGGATGACTTGCCAGTCTTGTGTGCGGTCAATCGAAGACAGGATAGGCACGATTCAAGGAGTCACCAGCATTAAGGTTTCGCTAGAGGATAAGATAGCGGATGTGAAGTACATGTCATCTCAGATCAAAGCAGAGGAGATTCGCGTGGCAATATACGACATGGGTTTCGAAGCAACCCTACCAGAAAGCTTTGACGTGAGCGCCCATGACAAGAGCCAAAGGGCTACGCTCCGTGTCGAAGGAATGACTTGCGGTTCCTGCGTGAAAAGTATTGAGAACACTCTGTCGGACCATCCTGGCTTGGCATCCATACAGGTATCCCTAGAGGGAAAATCAGCAACTTTGACCTTTGACCCCCAGGTCACGACACTACTGGCTATCAGGGATGCAATTTATGACATGGGCTTTGAGTGCTACATGCCTGATCCAGACAATGAAAGAACTGAAGCAGGAGTACTTGGCATCCAGGGGATGACTTGTAATTCTTGTGTTAAGAGCATAGAAGGAATGCTATCGGACAACCCTGCTGTGAGGTCAGCCAAGGTCAGCCTGAAAGAAGAGAATGCAATTGTGACCTTTGACCCCAACACCATCACAATGGAGCAACTAAAAGAGATTGTGTATGACATGGGCTTTGACGTCACCATAAAGGGTATTTATGACATTAATTATTTTCAATTAGAAAAACATGGTCATATAAGTTTAAGTTTTCATCAAAAGTACATCTGCTCCATCCTGGCTATGTTTTGCCAGAAATACATTATCAGTAAAGAAACAATCAACTGCATATGATTTATATCAGCAGGATTAGTCGCAATACAAAGAAATGAATGCATCATTTGTTAAAAGTCATTTTCTCACTGAATAATCTGCTTTAATCATTTGGCTTATTGCAATGTCTGAAGAGATTTCATTGTAAAGAATAGCTTAAATTTTATTTTAATTGGGAGATACAATATTATCTATTCTTCAGTTATAAATCAGTGATACCAGGTTCCTCTGCATTCAGTAACTGTACATAGGTTCCACCATTGACCATATACTTTTGACCACAAATTAATTCACTTTTTCTTTTCTTTGGATTATTCATAAACCAAAGAAATACGGCAATAAAGTATCTATTTTTTTTTGTTTCTCTTTGCAACACATGTATGATTGTATATATTGTAACCTTTCTTTCATTCTACATACTTTCACTCTTGAAAAACAAAATTATTTTACAATTCAATTTAAAAAATCCTATTCACTTTCTTTTCCCTTTTTCTATGCCAGTTCCATGCTAAGAAATATGAATTCATTTTTTTAATTTTTTATTTCTCTTTCACAATTATTTCACATTTTATAGAATCCCCATTACTAGAGATCAACTCACCAAACTCATGCACACCATCTTACTCAACAACTCAAGCGAGTGAACCTTTATCCAAACAATCACCCATCACTCCCCATGGCGCTTTCATGCAAGAGGTATCCCAGGATTCAGCTGGACAGGAAGTGAAAGCTGACAGCAGCAAGAAGTGCTTCCTACGGGTCACTGGCATGACCTGCAGTTCCTGCGTGGCATTGATAGAAGGCAGGATGGCAAAGCGTGAAGGTAGCACCGGTTTAAATCTCTCACAAGTAACCATTTTTTGGAAAACAAGTTTGCCAAAATTTCACACAAATTCGCAGGCATATCACCAAATAATGGCACTACTGTTTTATTTTTTCCATCTTCTCTTGCATAAGGATATTTCTATTTTTAGAGGGAGAAAAAAGTCTCAACTTCGAAACGCATTTCTAAATTGATTTGGAATCACCAATTTTGATTTATTCTCTATACAATAGGGGCAACCCATTTATTGGAAATAGTAATGTTGCTTTAGAAACACTAATTTCTCAATGCACTCTAGGGATTTGATGTGAATGTACACAATATTGTGTAATATTTATTGCACTGTGATGTGGAAGCAAATGTTAAAAGAGTAAAAAGTTAATTACAGTGCAATAACTTTTTATGGAATTTCACATGGACTATCAATCAATCATTCAAGTATTACATGTAGATCTGGTTTTCAATTTCAGGGTTGAGCAATCTCATTGAACCTTTTTTTTTTTTTTTTTTTTACATAGTCCCCTTTTCAGTTAAATTTTGTGGAATATCCCTCTAAAAGCAATGTCCATACATATATATCTAGAGACACACTAAACCACAGGTCTTTATCGTACCATTTAATCTGAATTGGATGCTGCCCAATAAAACTAAACTATGTCTTGGCAAAAAAAATATGAGAAGTGATGTCAAAGGTTTCATATCCTCACATTGTTCAGAATAGGAAGCAGCCACTCGTTTATGTATTTATAATTTGTATAATGGGATTTTAGTTGAACTTTCTACCCTTAATATGTACAGTAACAGCTTTAACTACAACTACAACTTTCATTTTTATAGTAAACAAGGTCGTTTAGTACCAGAAGTCAATTGTTAACAGTCTATCCAAGATTTCTATGCACCATATTCTTTTTAAGAAATGACTGCTGTGGAACTCTTTTCAATACAATTTTTTTTATAATAATTGCTCTGCAAGATGTTAAAACAAAACTGAAATGGCAACTTGCATACATGTACAGTGTAGGATGTGTTTAGAAAAAGAAATTGGAAATATTTGTTCTTGTTTCTATCAAGTAATGCATTGTTAGCAGTTTTTGGTACGTGTTCATCTTTAAAGATTTGATTAACAGCTAATTTTTAGGCCCAAGTAATTCCTTCTTAATCCTGTCTTGTATAGTCTTCATTTCTGCTGTGTAGAACTTGCAAACAAAAATGATTTTGTGGTTAATAGATGTTTTAGGTCTCTATGTATTATGAAATTTGAGCACTCCAATACATTCATGTTTATATACTTCCCTTAAAAAGGATTTATCATTGTTTTAAACCCCGACCTGCTCATCATTTTGGAAGAAGAGAACCTTTGAATTCTTCCTATCCAAACATTGAAACATTAGACTTCCTCTTCAAAGATTATAAACCTTGAGAACTTAACGGTTATTAAGCTTCAGTTTCCTGTTTCCTATCATAAATGCCCATTAGGGTTCAAACTCCAGCTGTAACTTTCTTTTTCTTTCTCCATCTTCATTGCATTGTATTTGAGTGTTAGTCAAATAAAATAAATAGACCCTTGTGACAATAGTCCGTATTCTATTAATTCAGTTACGTAATCAACGTACTGTAACAAAGAAAAGTAGAAAACATACACCAATTTAATTTATTTTTAGCAACCAGAAAGAGGAGGGCTACGGTTACATGTACTATTTTTGTTGTTCGTTTTGAAAAACAAACAAACAGTCCAATGGCAGATCCATTTTAGCACACTAAATTATAATTATTTTGCTTGTACATTTTAGTACACAATACTATGCTCATGTACAATTTGACCACAGATGTAAATGCCCTTTAACGTTTTTCAGATGACATTCATAGAATTCTCATTTTCATACTTTTGTGCAGGTATCGAGAGCATTCGCATATCCCTCATGGCCCAGAAGGCTGAAGTGAAATACAATGCCAAGGGCTTGTCACCGTCAAAGATTGCCAATTTGATAGACGACCTTGGCTTTGGTGCCGAGGTCATCGACGCAGAAGTAGCGAATGCTAAAGAAGGGGTCATTGAATTACATGTGAGTTGTCATTATTACATCCTAAAGTTGTCCCATTTGCATAAATCTGTGCTGTTTTTTTCAAAGCATTTCTCTCAACATGCAAAAATTGTATGCAAGATATAGAAATAGACCGGTTTGTCAGGTTTTTGACATTATCTCATTATCTTTACAAATATGATTCATTCAAGAATCATGGGGAGGTGTATATTGGTATTGAGTACCCTAAAAAGTGATGAAAATCCTATTTTTGTCCCATACAACTGAATAGAGATCTGTTACTGTATATGTGAATAATTTAGAACTACTTTGGAACAGTTTCTCTTGAATTTGTCATTTTATCGCAACTCAAGATTAGTTTTGATTGTGTCATTTTAACAATGTTTCCTTTGTCTCATCTTTGAATTCAGATATCTGGCATGACATGTTCATCCTGTGTACATCTTATTGAGTCAGCTCTCGTTAAAAAAACAGGGATCAAGTTAGCCGCTGTTGCCCTGGCGACTAGCAGAGGTCACTTTGAATATGACCCCAATCTCACAGGACCAAGAGATATCATATTGGCAATCAAGGTACAAAGAAGTTTGTGATATAGAGGATTTTGAGAAGTCTGTTCTAATTTTCTTTAGAGATGTTCAGGTTAGGCTTGGTTATTGAATGAGGTTTGAACTTGTTTATGATTGATTCAGATGATCTATAACACTTTCTTGATGACAATTTAATAATTAATAAGGGACTTTGCTATCATGTGTTTAATGAATGTGATTATTATCATGATAATCAACTTTTTTTTAATGAGAAGCTACATTTTTGCCTCATCAGTATCAAATTTATTTATTTATAGTCCCCTTGATGTACTCTGTGTGATTGTCTCTCTCTCTTCACCTCTCTCTCTCTCTCTCTCTCTCTCTCTCTCTCTCCCTTACCCCTGATTTCTCTCTCTCTTTTTCTCTCTTATTTCTTCTCTCTTCTCTCACTCCACCCCCTCTCACTTTCTTAAAAATAATATAAAATCTATTTTCATTATTACTTGGCTTTATATATGCTGGCATACTCAAATTATAGATTAAAAATAATTAAATTGCTATGCCATTAGTAAAATTGTTATGTCATCAATATTTCTTCTTCTTTTTATTTGCAGGAGGCAGGTTTTGAGGCGAGCTTGGTTTCCAGTGATAAGAATGTACATTCCAGCGTTGATCATTCCCAGACCATCAACCAGTAAGAGAAATCGATTCTTTATGCATAATGTAGTTTTAGGGTCATAATAATAATAATAATAATAGTAGCTCTCATTTATAATGAGCCTAATACTTTGTTTATAGACGCAGCACATATTATTATACGGTCATTGGATTCAGGCTTACCTGCAACACAATGTATGCACATTTTCCACTCTTTAGGGAGTATTCCAGCCAGTCACCATTTTAAAAGCGCCACTTGCTAATCCAACCACATTAACTTTCGCATCCTACCGGATACCCATTTAGCACATGGGTGGAGAGTGGCAAACGTAGATCAATGTCTTGCCAGAGGACATAAGTGTCGCGGCGGGACTTGAACCGTGGACCTTGTAATCCACAGTCCGGTGACATATCCACTCGACCACGACACCTCTACATCTGTATCAAGATGAGTCCTAACTCTTTTGTCCCATACGTGACCAACCACATCTCAGAATTGAGTATATCAGATCGTTGCATTGTGTTGCAAACCCTATTGGATCCCAGACCACACTGACTATGAACTGAAATAACACATTTGATATCAATTTATGTTCAGAACTAATAGAATATTGGTGACCTACTGGACACCAAATGAGCAAATAATTAGTACTGCTAAATAATCCATTCTGTTTGTTTGTGCTTAAGGAGACAGTGTCGAATTTCATACCTGAAGTTTTGACCATTTAGAGGCCTATAATTGCCATATACAGTATATAATACAATATAGAGCACTTTATTATTTGTAAAATGGCGACTGGCTGGAATGCTCCCCAGGGAGTGGAAAATGTGCATACATTGTGTGCAGGTAAGCTTGAATACGATGACCGGGGTAATAATATATCTGTAAAGCGCTTAGGCACATCGTCGGATCGATGTATTGAGCGCTATATAAACACAGAATATTATTAATTATATCTAGAAAAATTATTGATATGCTATAATCAGAATTTTGTTTTTCCACTTTCATAGATGGCGTCGGTCGTTCTTCATCTCCTTACTCTTTGGTGGACCAGTCATTGCCATCTTGTTGTATGAAATCATCAGTCATCCTTCTCCTAAGTGTATCTTCCCTGGGGTATCTATCCTCAATCTCCTCCTCTTCCTCCTCTGCACACCGGTACAGGTCAGTATCCTTGGTGATCATGATAATGGTGATAATGGTGATGGGGATCATAGTGATAAATGGTGATGTTGGTAGTGATACTGATGATGAAGGTGATTGTAATAATGATGATGATGGTGATTATGGTAATATTGATGGTGATGGTGATGGTAATGGTGATGGAGACCGAGATGGTAATAGTGATAATGAAGAAGGTGATTGTGATAATGATGATGATGGTGATTGTGGTAATGATGATGATGGTGATTGTGATAATGATGATGATGGTGATTGTGGTAATGATGATGAAGGTGATTGTGGTAATGATGACGATGGTGATTGTGATAATGATGATGATGGTGATTGTGGTAATGATGGTGATGGTGATAATGATGATGATGGTGATGGTGATGATGGTGATGGTGATTGTGGTAATGATGATGATGATGTTGAAGGTGGTCATGATCGTTGTGATAGTGATTGGGATGATGATGATGATAGTGATGACATGGTTGATGATGATAATGATGGTAGTGATATCATAAATGATAGAAAATTTTACTGAATCCCTTTCTACCTCTACTGCTGAAGATGGTGCTGAGGATATTTTGGTCATCCCTACATTTGTGAATCTGCAATTTCATATATATATATATTGATATTCCAATAACATATGAAGAATGACCTTGATGAATCTTGACCTGGTACCAGTAAGAGAGTTACACTCACAAGATTTTGACTGTTTTAACAAATATATATACAGTCAAACCTGTCTATAGCGACCACCTGAGGGAAGCACAAAAAGTGGTCTTCGTAGACAGGTTCCTTTCAGTGGCGGATCCAGGGGGGGGCCTGGGCCCCCCCTTTTGAAAAAAATCATGCAAAAACACATGATTTTTACCTTTTTGGGGGGGGGTTGGCCCCCCCCCCCCCCCCCGGCGCTCAAGGGGGGGGGTGCAAATTTTTTAATTTTCGAGGACCAAAAAAAAAAATATGTGCTCACCAAGTGGTTATTACTTTTCTTTTCCATTTCTGTCATGCTCTATAGTTTATAGCGGGGCGATACTTCTACATTCAGGCCTACAAGTCCCTCAAGCACGGGGCAGCCAACATGGATGTCCTCATCGTCTTGGCAACAACCATTTCTTACACCTACTCTGTCATAGTCCTCTTGATAGCCATATGCCGGAGATCTGATACCAGTCCAAAGACATTCTTTGATGAGCCTCCCATGCTCTACATCTTTGTGACGTTAGGAAGATGGCTGGAGCATTACACCAAGGTAAATTTGGACCAGGGAGGAAAATATTTTAAAAATTTTCGGGGGGGGGGGGGGGCTACAGTTCAAGCTTGCTTGCTTGGAAATATCACTCTTTAATTTGTTTTGCATTGAACTCTATGCAAATTTTTTGGGGCTCTTTTATGACTTTCAGGGGGCTAATTCGCCCAAGCACCCTGTGTATTTCCCCCCTGGTTTGGACGGCAATCATTATTGGGACTCTCTGTGCTGTAGGCTGCAAAATGTGGCCCACAGATTAAAATGTGTCCATATTAATCCATCGATTACAGGAACTGAGAGTATACTATTAACAGCCAAGAGGAATAAGAGAATTGGATAGATAAGTTTGGATTGAAAGAGCTATAATTTTATTTGTTACCAGAAATGTAGAATATAATGATTGAGGTTGTACTTTAATTGCAAATTTAACTCTGGAAAAACAAAGTAAATTTACTTGCAGGTTTACCGACATTAGGATGAGATCATGTGCAAATTCAATACAATATACTTTTTTATAAATCCTAGTCACCCGTTCTTTTTACAGGGAAAGACTTCAGCAGCCCTAGCCAAGCTCATCTCTCTACAGGCAACAGAGGCTACCCTGGTCACTATTGACCCCCAAGGTCAAAGGTCAGAGGAGCAGATCAACATTGACCTCTTGCAGCATGGTGACCTGGTCAAGGTGCGTCCTGGTGAGAAGATCCCTGTGGACGGAACGGTGGAGGAAGGGACGTCCATGGTGGATGAGGCTCTGATTACGGGGGAGTCCATGCCCGTCACTAAGAAGACAGGTTAGTTGAGCAGGCACACTGGTCGCAATAGCATCACAGTTTTCCAAAATATACCTCTTCATCATCTTACATTGTTCATCAAGAAATGTTAAATGAGTAATAAATTAGTGGATTAGTTGTCTATCAATATTTTTCTTTCATTTGCCAGGGAGTACTGTCATAGGAGGAACCATTAACCAGAATGGGGTTCTTCTTGTCAAGGCTGTTCATGTTGGAGCAGAAACAACTCTAGCCAACATTGTGAAGCTGGTAGAGGAAGCACAGACATCTAAGGTGAGTTTTGCAAAGAGGCTTACTGGAAATGCTTTATACCACAAAACTAAGAGCTGCCAACTATTCCTATTTTGGAGGAATTATTCCTAATTTCAGTCATGTTACAAACCCTAAGTTCCTTCTTCTTTTATTCCCTAAAAACTTCTGTATTAAAACATGCAAAGTGCATCTTATTCATACTTTTGCATTGAAAGATTCCTAATTTTTGCTTTGCATGATTGGCAGCTATGCAAAACTGGGTGCAGGGCAGTTTTTGTGAAATGCTCTCTTGAAATCTGCAAGCATCCGCCCATTCTTAATGATCAGAGGCAGTTTAAAGTTTCAACCTGCCATCAACCTTTAGATATGGATGCCATAGTCAAGTGGTTTTATGTACAGTTTTTGTAGTAGAGTGGCTTAAACCAATGAATGGAGAATATGGGAATATTGAGGATTAAGCTCCAGTGAGACACTGATGATTTATTGTAAGACATTAGTTTAGCACATGCCATTCTCAACCCAGGTGTTAAAGTGGGCATCTGGTCGGAATTGTTCCTTGAATCGCACTGTGAGCTGATAATTTCTAGCGCAATAAAGATAAAGTCCCTCCAAATTTAGATATAAGTGTTTTTTGTGCACTATCCAAATAAAACTTTTCAATTCTCAGAAATAATGCTGTAGAGTGATTATTAAACTAATAAACTTTATAAAAAGAGGTGGAGCCCATTTCTATTTGTTTAATGTGACCTGCTAAGCCCTTTCCTCCAGCTTTTATATCTTATAAATCTATACATCCCTCTCCTTTACAGGCACCCATCCAGAAGCTAGCTGACCGCATCGCAGCATACTTTGTCCCTGGTATCGTTATTATCTCCTTGGTAACACTCATCTGTCACATTGCTATGGGACTGTCTGGTAATGGCATGGTGCATCCATCTAGCTCTGAGGTAGGTACACAACAAACAAAAGTGGATTCTTGTTTCATCATCATTATCATCATCAACACCAACTTCAAACAAAAGTGGATTCTTTCTTCATCATTATCATCATCGTTTTAACAGCGTCCTGTTTTTCCCACACTCTTGGGTTGGGCGTTTCATTTCCCTTATGTCCTTTCTCCAGGCCTTTGCATTTTCAGCTTCTGCCTTGGTTAGGCCAGATACTCTCATGTCTTCATCTGGTTTCTCTAGTCTATGTGTCTCCTTCCAGAGTTTGCAAGGTCTGCCAATGTTTCTTTCCTTTACGGACGACATTACCATACCATCCCAATCTACCCCTCCTCATCTCCTGTGTGATTTCTGTCGGTGAAATTTTCATTCTTGAATTATTATCTACATATTACATGTTTTCATATATTGGTTAATGATAGAACTAAGCAATGCTAATATGTATATATATATATATATATAGATATAGGAGTTGGTAAGGTTAAACTTTATTGGTAAGAGTTATACAGACTGTTTTGCCAGAAGGCTCATCAGTATATATATATATATATATATATATATATATATATATATTTCATTATATTCCACATACTAAGAATCTTGCTCTACGATTGGTCAAAAGTAAATCACGTGATGAAAGACAGTTCGCCCATCATTGATGGAAGAAGAAAAGTTTGTTGTACTGTGTAGATAGTAGTACAGATACACAGTGCAACACACTTTCACTGAAGATAGAAGTACTATCTACAAAGTGCAACGCACTTTAATTGTAAACGTTGCGTATTGCTCTCCTCTTTAAGCGCTTTTAGTGTTAGTACGCGAATTTTGGTAACGCGCGAACTAAGGTCACACCACCATACTGCATACATTGTACGTTTCGTACACCGTTTGCTAGCTGTTAATTGATGAATTGTTGCTTAAAATTGACGGAAGAAGTGAAATGTTTCTGATGTGGAATATAAAGCAAATAATCACCTTTTGGTTTCAGGCGATGGCAAACTATCACTTCCTCTGCGATCATACGCTATCTTTTCCGAAGCGAAACATCCAGATCGCCTCGGAAGTGATAGTTTGTCCCATCACCTTCATCAACAGTAATTATTTGCTTATTATATATTCTCAGAAAACTTCGGTCCAATTAAAATATGAATGTTAGTGTATAGAGAATTTGTTACTTTCCTTTAGACATCAGCTGTTACAATTGTTATCCTCATTACCATTTTTACCTAGACATTGCCTGAAAACAAGACGATGATGATCTGGCAATACTCCTTCCAGTGTGCCATCGCAGTTCTTTGCATTGCTTGCCCCTGTGCATTGGGACTGGCGACCCCTACGGCTGTAATGGTTGGGACCGGGGTCGGAGCAACCAATGGCATCCTTATCAAGGGAGGAGAACCTCTAGAATTAGCTCATAAGGTGAGGGGTCAATTAAATTAATTAACATAAGTTCTTACATTAACATAATTACTATTTTATTTTGTGTTATTATTCTTAAACAAAAATTATGTACATTCTGTTTTTGTAGTTACAGCGCTCTAAGGAATTTGTTGTTATTATTATGTTGTTGTTGTTGTTGTTATTGTCATAATCATTATAATAATAATAATTTAATGATAATAATAAGTTTTATTATTATTCTTAGCAGTAGCCGTTGTAGTAGTATTAAATTTACAAGTTTAAGTGGGATTATCAATTCAAGTGACACTATTCAAGTGACACTCCAATATCTTCTGAGAGATTTATTTAACTAGTATGTATTTATTCATATTTGCAACAAAAAATAAAACAGCCATGCTAGAGCATTCCACAGCAAGGTGGAGACCCACACCACAGACAGATAGATATTTAGATAGTTCCTGCATAGAAAAACTACAAAATTCTCCTTTCCTCATTCTTTCCTCATTCTGTCCAGGTGAAGACTGTAGTCTTTGACAAGACAGGAACGATCACCCAGAAGAGACCTACTGTGACCGATGTGATTTATATTTAGATAGTTCCTGCATTAAAAAAACTCCAAAATTCTCCTTCTTTCCTCATTCTTTCCTCATTCTGTCCAGGTGAAGACTGTAGTCTTTGACAAGACAGGAACGATCACCCAGGGTAGACCTACTGTGACCGATGTGATGGCATTCCACAGCCAGGTGGAAACCTACAACACAGACAGACTCCTGGCGGTGGCCGGCTCAGCAGAGCTGGGAAGTGAACATCCAGTAGGGGTAGCGATAGCAAAAAGAGCTAAAGAGGTTTGTAGTTCTGATAATAATACTCAGCTTTTATAAAACGTGAATTACAATTATTCTCTAAGCGCTTCCAAACTTGAAGATTATGACCTCGGCTTTAGCTGTGCTGCCATTACGGCGCTCTAGCATTTCAGGTTAAGTGTGGCAAATGTAGATCAATGTCTCGCCAAAGGACATTAGTACCGAGGCGGGACTCCAACCTTGGACCTTGTGATTGACAGTCTGGTGACGTAACTGGTGACTTAACCACTCTACCACGACACCTTTATGTTGTCAGTTATGGAATAAGGATGGCACTTATACCATTATATTGAGGTCCTTTTGATATTATGCATCAAATGACTCATGGTGGTATTATCTCCTATTTTACAATGCAATTTGAGGAAATGCCACAGCACAGACTGTTAACCTTAGGAATGGAACCAATGTATGACCAGTAGGCTGGGTCCCCTCTGTAAAGTTTGTTTATTTTATTTCTACCTTCCTTTCCTAGTTTGAATGAGTGAATTTTTTCTGGTAAAATATGCATTAGTTATTTAGAAAAAGATAATTTTTAGAGTACAATGCAGAGTTATCCTGAATACCTTTATCATGTCCCTTACATACCTGTACATCTACTTATGATTCAGTTTGGTGTTATGTAGTACATCATAATACACCCGTTTCTCTGATTTCAATGCAGTTAATCAAAAAGATTTCTTAGAAATCTGTGTGTTGATTAATTTGTGATGATAAAGCATTATGGACATTAACCTGCTAAATACTAAGCCATAAGATAACTTGAGCTGGGATCTATAGAACATTGTTTGTTGCACACAAGAAGGCTGTAGCAGGTATACATGTGGACAGCTGATGAAATGCTTCTTATACCAAAATGAAATTCATTGGGTTAAGCATACATTCTATGACATGATCGTATCAACATGTAGGTCTTTGGAACCAGTGCCCTTGCCAAGTGCAGTGACTTCCAGGTTGTGCCTGGATGCGGTATCAAGTGTTCCGTGGATGCCCTCTCCTTGGAACTCCTCCTGCGTCGTCGTCAGCTTGGAGACGGTTACCAGGATACAGTCCGGGTGGAGATTGACAATGCCACTGTGGATGTGGTGTCTCCGACGACGGGAAACAGTGGGGGGTCGGCCATCATTCCATCCGAGTCCACAGGTAAACCAGGATTGTTTGATGGTTATATGAAATTGCTCCATATTTTTTTTTTTTAAACCATTCGATCTTGGTCTGGTATATTTCTACTTGTACATAGTCTTAGCTCCTACACTCAAGTCATCAAAAGGTCATCTACTTAAGCCAATAGGGCAGAGGCCGTTGATAATTTGTATTTCCAGTTGGGTGGAAGGATACGCTTTGGGCTTCAATTTTTTTGAGAATAAAGGAGTAAGGCTTTTGCCTGTTGCATACAAGGCAACATTTCAGTTGCATTTTTTATTTCTTAGGCTAATTTTGGTTGCCTTAATCCTTAGGCTGCTTCAATTCTTAGGCTAATCAAGCCTATGGAAGCAAGAAATGCATGTACCAGGATCCAACGAACCATTGCTCACATGGCAAGCCAAAGACCACACCAGTTGCCGATGCAGCCCTACATAAGGAAAATAAAACACCTCATGTGCAATTTGCATTAGATGTCCAAAGCATTAGATTTTGATTGCGTTTTAGATTTGTTTTAGGGTTAGGGTTAGGTGCTATGGAGTGTTTGATCCAGGGGTGAGGTTAGGAATTTGTTTAGTGTTATAAATTTTAATTGGGACAATTCCCTTTTATTTATTTTCAAAATATTAGCAAGTGAAGTTTAGGGCCCTAGTCCAACAGTTTCTCACTAGAAGTCCAAAGAATATTCTGCTATACCAAAGCATATTATATATTGTATCTACCACATTTGATTATTCTTCAAGGTCTACATAATTGAAAGATAAATACATAATATGAATAGGATTTATTTAGAAGAGTATAATTTTTTCATTTATACCTAAATCCTAAAGTGCTTACAAGGTACAGTAATAAGCAATCATCTACCAAAATCTTGAATAAATAATTTGACAACATATTTCATTCTTGTAACAGGACACTTTGCCATGTCAAAAGGGAATAGGACTGACCATTATCTGGTTGCTATCGGTAACCGTGAGTGGATGCATCGTAACTTTGTTCCAATGTCTGATGGGGCTGATGCTGCGTTAGGAGCAAGAGAAGAGTTGGGGCAGACGGCCGTCCTAGTGGCAATAAATGGTAAGCCTCATGTTCTTCTCTCTTTCATTCTCTGTCTCTCACTCACCCTCCTCGTCCCTCTCTCTTATAGTTTCTTTTCTCTCATGTGTTAGTTTTCTTTTTATTATCATTTTCTTTCCCCTTTGTATATTTCACTCTCTCTCTCTCTCTCTCTCTCTCTCTCTTTAAAATGACAGAATTGTCTTGTTCCATTGTAGACATATCCTAGCATTCAAAGTTGTTTGTAAATTTAAGCAGCCTGTCCTATTTATGAACTTTAAAACAATGAATGGCAAGTGATAATGCTTAATTATATATGTGATCACATTGCCTGCTTGTAAAAGAAATGATATAGTAATAATGACTGCTTTGAGAGACATAGTTGTTTTTATATGCTCAAGGGAAGGCTACAATCGAGCTGTTGACCGAGGCTATGTCATTATTACTTTTATATACCAAAAAAAAAAGTCAACTTATGACACAATCTTGGCTTTTCTCTAGTTTATCTGCACATGTATCAACACAAAATTATGGCATCTGCATAGACTTTTGTCTCAGAAAGTGAATGGGTAACAACATTCAAGAACAAAAGGCAGCGGTGTAACCCCGCTCTCTCTCTCTCCCCTCTCGCTCTCTGTCTCTCTCTCTCAGGTGAGCTAGTTGGTATGATCAGTGTAGCGGATGCGGTCAAGCCTGAGGCAGCAGCAGCTATCTGTACCCTCAAGAAGATGAAACTGGATGTCATGCTACTGACTGGTGACAATAAAAAGACTGCTCAGGTCATAGCTGGACAGGTAAGGCATCTGTTAAAGTGACTCTGTAACATTGTCTCAGATTCTGAAATAAAAATCCTGGATTTAGCTCATGCTGCAATCATAAATATAAACCTTTAGGTCAGTCAAGAATCCCATGACTTTTATAAGCCGATCGCCTGTCTGAATATCAAGATATTTATGATTGGAAATCAAAATTTCATTTTGGGTTTCCTTAACGGTTTTGATAACACTACAGTCTATTGGGGAAAATGAGTATGGTAAAACCAGTCACTCAAGATTTTTACTTTTTTGAGGCACTTCATGATCATTTTGATCCGCAATTTTTTTAGGGCTTCAATATTACACCACATCACAGACACTGATAACACGTAGGGCCATGTATCTCAGATTTAACATTGTTAAACGATGCCTTTCACTGTAATAAGCAAGTTGGCTCAGTCGATATAGCATCTGCCCGTCGAAACCAAAGTTCGAGTCCCACCAAGGCAGATGACTGACGCCCGTATTGTGTGTGATCATACCCCTCGTCCGTTTCATAGACCCAGGGTTGGTTACAGTGGAAAACACTCTGTCCCTCAGAAAGAATGTTAAATGGGCGTAATAGGCGTAATACAGTAACAACAAAAACCACTTGGTTCTCGTATGCAATGGGTTTACAACCTTTTCTAATGTAAAGAAGGGGCTGTAGATGTGTTTGTTTAAGGTATTGCAAAGTTTTGATATATTTGGATGTCCCTGTGGATGTATTATAAGCACCAGAAAATTAGCCCCCTAAAACACTTCTGCTTTCGAGAAATTGAATAATCAAAAATTTACCGGTGCTCCTGGTAAATTTCAAATAGCGCCTAAGGCCATTCCATGGTTGCTGCGACCATGAAAATCTCAGTATATGCAGTTCTGATATATATTCTCCAAACGGGAGTAGCAAAAGGGTCGATTGTAGTCACTAAACATTGTTTTAAAGCTAAAGTAATATCAGTCCTGAGTGGGAGCTATACAACATAAAGAGTTTATTATTTACAATTTCATCACTTTAGACTTGATTTCAACCGCGACAACGATCATTGAATATTGTAAAACTCGCATATGCTTCCAATATGTTCATTTGAACCAAATGCATGACCCCATACCAAAACTTTGTATTCCCTTTAATCAACCACATACATAAAAGTCTATTAGGAATATGTAGCTTTTTGTCCAGTGAATGCATTCTCTTTCTCATTTCCATTATATTGTAGGTTGGTATTGGGCATGTCTTTGCTGAAGTTCTTCCTCAACACAAAGTGGATAAGATCAGAGAGCTCCAGAAGAGAGGTCATATTGTTGCCATGGTAGGGGATGGGGTCAACGACTCGCCCGCCTTGGCCCAGGCTGAGATTGGTATCGCCATAGGAACAGGCACGGATGTAGCGGTAGAGGCAGCCAATGTGGTCCTGATCAGAGTGAGTAATATGGACTACTATTAAAGTTATGTGTACAGTATGTTGGGTTTTTTTTATATAAGGGGCTCACAATCAGCATTTCTTAAAGGGAAAGCATATCTTTGTAATGAGTTCATTGCGTGAAAGCAGGAAAATAAGAATAGCAAAAGCTTTAAAATTCGGCGAATGTAAAAAGTCATGCAATATTTAAAAGATGAGTTTAATGAATCAGTGCAAATCTCAAATTCACAATTTTGTAGCGCAATATGACATATTCATGGTCAACCCTCTCATTTGTTGTATACGAAAATTTTTATTGATTTTTGTTTTTCTCCCAATTGTCTTCTCCTTTGGGGCACTACCCAATATTTATCATAGTTAGTATTATCATATATATTATAGATCCTCCAAATGGAAAGCTCATCCTCAGTAGTACATTTTGAAAATAAAAGCAAGTCATTTTGTGTGTTGGAATGAATGGGAGTGTTGTCCGGCACTGCATCACAGTGACAGTACCAATGCAGCAAATTTAAAAGTGATTGTTGGTTTCCTTTAAACTTGTGGTTACTATGGCAATCTGTATCTGATCTCTTTCATCTGCAGGATGACCTACAGGATGTGGTGGCGGCCATTGATCTATCCCATAAGACCGTGCAACGGATTCACATCAACTTCATGTTTGCGCTCGTCTATAATATTATCGCCATTCCCATAGCTGCAGGTATGCTTACACTCTCATCAATCTTTCTGAATGATATCTCCTTTGCTCTCCGTCATTGTTGGTCAAACAGTTTTTGAGCATCAAGTAACGCCTGGCTGGAATGCTCCCCAGGGAGTAGAGATTGTGCACACAGTGTGTGTGGGCAAGTTTTGAATCCAATCACCAGGGTAACAGTTTATCTGTAAAGCGTTTAGAGACATTTGTATTAAGCGCTATATAAAAGCGACATATTATATTATCATCTCATGAGATGCAACTGTTTAACTACATTCATCTTGAAGTGAAGGATACTATCCTATACTTTATCATCTACACATACTCCTTTATAATTCTGTTAGCTTGTAAGAATTAATAGAACCGATTTCCCAATTATTCAAAAGGCGAAAGTATTCTGATGTGTAGTCCTTATTTTATGCCACGGCAGGATAAAAACCTATGGATGACATCAGTCAATCTGGGCAGCGTTTCACAAAACCGTCAAAAGTACAAGTTTGTCGACAACCCATTGAAATGGGTGCATGAAATTTAACACGTAGTACAATGGGATGTCGGTGAACTTGTACTTATGATGGTTTTGTGAAACGATGCCCAGGTGATTAAGAATGTCAAACTTACTTGGCTCATTCTCCTAGGTTAGATAAAAATACAAAGAATATTTTTCACCTCACATGCTCTGAACAGACAGTAGCTCACACTTATTTTTGGAATCGTATATATTCTTGATAAGAGACCGCTTCTCCATGTTTAGCGTGATTGCAGTTTTTGCAGTGCAGTGATTTATCAGCAATGGTACACCTTCTACTCATCTTTTACAGTAATATTGTCTCTGTTATTAATCTCTTTACAGGTGCTTTGATGCAGTGGGGTATTGCCCTTCAACCCTGGATGGCTGCTGGTGCCATGGCGATGTCAAGCGTGTCTGTCGTTACATCATCACTTCTACTTAAATTGTAAGTCCTGTTTAAAGAGATGGTTGGTACTACAAATCAAAGAATAGCAATGACTATAGATATACTTTGTTCCTTTAACTTCTATTCATGTTGTCTGATTTGGGCTTCCTGATCATTCTTGCAACATATACTCTGATAAGTGCAAGAGGAAAAGCTGTAGTATATTCTGTATTTGTCGCTTTTCTTCCAATCCCTGTTTTCATGGTTATGCATCAGCTAAAATACATGCAAGTGAAGCCTAATTTGTGCATAGTAAGAAGCATGCACTGCACATATTTTCAGGTGAATAATCCAAAAATTAAAATGCATTTGACAGGCATTTTTATTAAATTAACCCCCAATTTAAAGGACCCACTATCAAGACACAGTACATAAAACAAATACTGACTGCTTTTTCATTTATTTTTGAGTTACAATCAAAACTATACACCACTGTAATTTCAACCCAATGCTTTCTCCCCTGACATTGTCATTGGGTATAGTACTAGTTTGATCTCTCCTGGAGATAGTTTGAACAAGGAGATACAAGTGAGCTCCTTGGTTTGAGCTCCTTAAGCAGTCAATATTTGTGAACTGTGTTAGGTGTTTTCCTGTCATTACTTTTCTACTTCGTTTTGTTCTCCATTTCATTTTATTTTTACTGAATGTTGAATAGTAAAACTCTTTTTTTTGTTTATTTTTTGCAGTTACAAAAAGCCAGACATTGAAAAGGTTCCTCAGCACCACCTATGGCTCTCTAAATGGCTTCCCACGGTCAATAAACACAAACCTCTCTCGTCAGAGGACATCGAGATTGGTGTGCGGACGACCACGAGCAAAGGGCCATCATGGTTGCTAAGGACCATAGGAAGGGACAACAGGTCGCGGGACGGCTACGGTATCACCTTGCTTCGAGAGGAAGATGACGAAGGTGCTCTTTGAAGTTGAAAGTTGAATCCTTGTCCTGAAATCAAAATTGTTGTATGCAAATAGGATTATCAAAAGAAGCTTTATTGAGCCTAGTCATGTTCCTGGCAGAATGGCACTTTCAAGAGGCCTTGGTGCTGCCCTTGTACTAGCCATACGATGATCTGTTGTCTAGTTCGTCATGTCTGCTAGCCACCCGATGATCTTTTCTAATGCTCTTGGTGTTTCAAGTATTTTGTGAAGCTTAAGTGGTGATTGTTCATATGGTATCTTTTCCCACCTATTGTGTACAGGCAGATACCATGGAATGAACAACGTGCCTGCTGAGACACAGAAGGACATTAATCATATTCTGTAACACAGAGCTAATGCCCTTTTGGCTTTCAATAGATACACCATTAACGTGCAACAGTTAGTGCAATGCCTCAAAGTTTAACAAGAATAAGTTACGGCCGCAAACTTCTTCAGAGCTAGGGTTGGCTGCAGATGTAAAGGAAAGAATAGAAGAACATGAGACAGGATCAATTACAGGCATTATTCTTGCATTTTCTGTGAGCCCTGACAGGGAGGCATCACTAGTAATATATAACAGAGATTTATTAGAAATGTTTAGAATTTTATTTATTACATTATTCATGAAGCACAAATTATAAATTGGAGGAGCTAAATACATTATTTTATTCTGCTGTGATTTGTATAACTTGTAAAACTTGTAAAACTTGTAAAATACTGTTTATGAGGATAGATAATGCTAGATTACCACTCTAAAACTAAAAGGCATATTTTTTGGAAAAGTGGTTTTTCTGTTTTTAGTAAAAGTTACATTGTAATTTGAATGAATCCAATGGAATGATAATATAATGTAATTAAATGTATTGTTCCATAATACTGCAACTCTATCTTAATAATAATAGTTGGGCATTTGTGTCTGGATATTTTATGCACATGTACATTTCAATATTGCAAATGCTTCTAATGTTGAATTGTGGTAGGATAAATCATGTTCTATAGATATGTATTTCATGATAGGATAATACTTTAATTTATCACGTTTGTACATGTATCATTGCAAAAGGCTTTATAGAACTATTGTCTCTTTAGACTATTTCTATTTGTGTTGTGTTAGTACAATAAAACCAACAAAAAAACACCTCCTTTACTTTCTTTAAAATAAAAATATATATATGTTGGAGGTAGAATCAAATAGATGGAACATTTTGATTCTTCAGATGTTGAGTGGTATTTATTTGTTTTATAATCATATTGCTTTCATCGTACATATGTATTTCTACACATTGCAAATAGTACTATTATATAGATATATTTTGTACAAGTTTTAAATACATAGTGATGGTTCAATTAGATGTCATTTATATCCATTACTCGTGAATTTGTGATAATAGGCTTTAATTGTATTTAATCTAAATAAAGATTTTACTAAATTAGGAACTTGATAGTATATTAGTCTAAAATTATCTTAGAAAGTGCAATTTGAAATGCTCCCTGACCGTATACATTTCTTATTGAATGATAAGAAATTTGACTTGGATACAACTGCACAATTTTTGAAAAAATTAATTTCAACTTTGAGGTACATAAATCCTAAGTTTTTGGTGCAACATATGTCTTGAATCATCGAATACCAAACACAATCTGTCAATTAAAGTCTCACTGTAATATAAAAACATAATTATAATTATTATTTCATTTCAAAACCCAAAATATGTCAATTTCTCTGAGTGATTCCATCTCTGACATTCTTTAAATGTTTCACCTCTCCTTTAATCAAGATATTTGGGGTACAACATTTGCACGGGCGACAATCGCTGCAGACTTTCTTTAGTCATAATCTAGGGTTTAATAGGATAAGTAGTGCAATTGGGTTACGGGTCAGGTTTGAGGTTAGCTATGTCCTATTATTGGGGTTAGTTATAGAGTGGTGAAGTGTGACGTCATAAAAAAATATTTTTTGGAATTTCTCAATTTTTTCTTCATTTTCCGAAAGAGCATCAAAAATAATGTCCATATGTCGAAAACCAATTGAATGGGTTAAGTATTGGCTGAGATATGACCATCTGAATAAATAGATTTCCTATGGGAGCCCAGTGTTATATTGCTCTGGTTCATAACATTACGAGCCAGAGCAATATAGGAAATCTATTTATTCAGATGGTTATATCTCAGCCAATACTTAACCCATTCAATTGGTTTTTCGACATTTGGACATTATTTTTTATGCTCTTTTGGAAAATGAAGAAAAAAAATGAGAAATTCCAAAAAATATTTTTTGATGACGTCACACTTCACCACTCTATAGTGGTTGGACCAGGGTTGAAGTTAGGAGCTTGGTAAGTGTGGGCAACTACTCTTGAGCATTCATCATAAGACCAAGAACAGTTGTTGAATTACAACTTTTTAATAACCGACATTACCAGCTACACATACATTTATTATATTTTTTGTGTTCGGGGTGAATCATTTTGTGACACAATATCTGATCTACTTAACTGTGCAATATTTGTCTAACCAATTAATAATGCACATTCGATCACAGGATATAGCATAGTCAATCGTGCTTTCTCTATGTTTGTTTAATGAGCCGTGGATATTCAAAATGAAATACCGGTACCATTATCATCTGCTTTCCTATGTACACTGTCCATTTGTCAGTTGTGTAAACTGTTTTTTAGACGGGCTGAAAGTGTGTAATGTTATTCAAAACCAGACAATTTTATGTGCACAAAATTTTATTGCACTTTAGAGAGAAGTCTGGATTTTGCAAAAGATTTGTACTGGGAAATACATCAGAACGATACATATACCACAACACAAATTTTAGAAAATTAAAAAAAATTGCCATCATGAATAGTTGGCAACAATTTTTAATATTACAGTACAGTGTTTACCTGCCAGTAGGTCTGATAATGTATGATTAAAGTTACTAGAGACTGTAAAGGAAGACAAAAATAGGTTTATTAGAAGAGATTTGGTGAGAGGATCATGATAATGCAATAATTCTTACATGACATGTACTGCTTTTGTATTAATTAGCCACCTTGATTTACCCCTGCCTTATTATCAAAGTCTATCTAATTTTGCTGTTTGATTAAACGTGACAGCTAGCTGCCATCCAATTAATTGGTTTTCGTACATGTAGTATGTAGCCTGTTGTAGAAGATAACTCTGATATTAAACATACAAGTATTAATAAGTCTTTGTTATTTAATATACAGAAAATTGTACTAAATTACTGCCCTTGTCTCAACCACTTCTGTTTGTAAAGGCTTGCAAAACTTGTGATATTTCCTTATTCGTGTAGTGTGAAATGATTGAGTTTTATGGGTTTGTTTTACCTGACTGCTGAGAAAGCATAATGTATGCTTCTATGAGCGACTTGGTAACGAGGATTAATGCTGTACCAAAAACACTAGCACTTTGACTCGGTTTTGAACCTTCCGGTTACAAGACCACTGCTCTACCACTGAGCCATCATGTCTCATCAAAGAAATACTGCCTGTATGGTAGATTTGAATACATACTCCTAAAAACTTTTCTAACTCGATTAAAGTACATTTAAGAAAAGAAGAAATCAAAAAAGTTATGTCCGATGGAGTGAAGAATATACTACAAAAGTTATAGATTTTTTTTTCTTTTTCTTTCCAGAGATTATCAATTTGATCAAAGTGGTTACATTTCTTGGAAAATTATGAATAGTGGATTGTATCTCGTAATATTTTAACTACCGGTATGCAAATATTTTTGTTTTAGCACATTCCATAATAGTTGCACATGATATATTCGGTGTACCTTGTAGTAGAAGATATGCAGTTACAATATAGCTTTAATTCATTCAGTATGATATGGTTTCCTTATAATACACATCTGAAGTAATATTGATCCTGCTGAAATTGCAACAGCAGTATCTAAAGGAGTGAATGTATAATTGCATTTAAGAATTATGATAACTTGAGAGCTGAATCTAGTAATGGTAAATATTAATTGCATTTTATAACAAGAAAGGGATATTTTTCATTTCATCATTCATTGAGAGTTGCCGTGTTTGAGTGGTTAAGTCGCTGGACTGTCGATCACAAGGTCCGCGGTTCGAGACTTGCCGCGGCACTGTTGTCCTTTGACAGTTGATCTACATTTGCCACACTCAACCCAGGTGATGTAAATGGGTACTAGCTGGCAGGAATTAATTCTTTAAAATGCTAGAGCGCCGCAATGGCAGCACAGCTAAAGCCGGGGTAAAAATCTCCAAGTTTGGAAGCGCTTTGTGATTCTAATAAGCGCTATGATAAAAACCGAGTATTATTATTATTATTATGGCAATCATGTAAGTGTTACTTTTTAGATAGTGATTTTGCAATTTTTTGTCAAATACTTTTACAATTGGTGTACATGTATGTGCTTTTAGTTTCATTTGAACTTCATTTTTGTAAGGCTTCAGGATTTAAAGGATTTTTCTTTCATTTAAAAAAAATGAATCATGAGAAAACCAAAACCATTTTTTAATGTTTTCCCAGAATAAAAAATGCAACTATTCCATCTCTGTAACACTTTCCTTTAGTCTGAATCTCTCTTTTTATACAAATTGGTTTTAATTTGAAAATTAAGGAGAATAATATTTACTTTCTCAAATATTGACACCTTAGTGACCTTACATATGTTTTTTACTATGGACATCGGGAAAGTACAAATAGTGCTGATTTGTTTGACATTAATATGGATGTTATAAATTTATTAAAGGGGAAGAACACCTTATATTAAGCTGTTTATATATATGATTTGATGCAACTCATATGATGCATATTTCCCGCATGAGTGATTAAAAACAATTTGAAGAAAGGGTACCCAAAAGTCATTTGGTGCCATCACCATCTTTCAACCTTTATAATTGCAAATCATCATATCATATTTTAAAAAATGAAGAGCTTGGATGTTGCCAAATTGGAGCTGGATTAATTTCCCTATGCTGCAATCTGTTATGTAAGCTAGCTCTCAGAATCGATGGGTCTATGTAAAAAAAAATATATATATATAATCCTCATCGATAAATGATCAAATTTGTGATACATTCATTTTAATACAGTGTGTAAAGTTAGATGGCTAAAAAGTGTTCTGTTATAAGGAAATCCAATCTTTGTATCAATTTCATTTGTATGAAAGCGGAAAAATAAGAGAAACAGGATGGCGAAAGTTTGAATAAATCGGACCAATGGTAAGAAAGTTTTGAGTGTTTGAAATATGCATTTTGGTTACTGGATTGTGACTTAGTCGCAGATAACTCTCCCACCTGCCGTGCACCTAAATATCTTACATTTCTGTTTTTCTCTTAAGCACCTTCTCCCTTGGGGCACCACTCAAAAAAATTGTGGATAGCATTTTATTAAAAGTTTTCTAAAAAAGAAAAGACACTCCCGAGTCTTATATTTAAAAAAATAAATAAATTACAGATTCAGCCTATTTGAAGTGCCAACACATTGAGTGATTTCGATTTTCTAAAACTTATAATTTTCTTATTTTTATGTGATTTCTTTCAATATCTTGCCAGTCTGCTTCTCTAATTTTTCTGCTTTCTTTATTAGAGTAGTTTGCTATTAGGTTTGGATTTCCCTTTTGAGCACAAGGGCTTATTTGGCACTATGAGAGGCTATGGTCCTATAAAGATCTATAGAAGAACAATTATTACAATTATTGCTATTTGGTGTTTAAAAAATACATGGTATCATTTTTTTTAAAGAAAACGTTTTAAAGAGCAAAACATATGCATTTGTGTTGCTGGTTCTGTTCATCGGTTCATTTTGAAGACTGGTTTTAAATTCAGATAGCTGATTTATTAATGTAATTGGAGAAAAATCCCAATATTTTTCACCCAATTTTATTATATGACTGTCAAGAGGCCTGTCTTTTTGCCCCGATAAGCAAACAACTAAATTGGCTAGAGATCTACTTTTCAAAGAGAGAAAGAAAGAAGAAGAAAAAAAAAAAAAAAACCCTGATGATCAACATCAATGAGGAATTTGAATAGAAAGTGATTTCTCCGATAAGTGCAGTAAATAAGAACATAAATCCTTCATGAATTGATTAATTTGTGCTTTAAAAAAAGACAATATAGTATTTTTGACAAAACTTTGAACAAAGCTCCTTGTCTTTATTGTCAACGGGTTAATCATCAGAGATTGAAGAGGGAGGAAGTTACGAGCATGGACCTAACATAGAGGGAGGAAGGGAGAGAGGGGAGAGGGGGCGGGAATTTCGTAAAGGAGAGGAGAGCTAGGTGAGATAGGGGAGTGTAGATACAGGCGCGGATCCAGGATTTTCCAATAGAGGGGGCCGGAAATTCGAAATTCGCGCAGACCGTTATTTAAACTTACCAATACTGACAAGGTCATTATTAGAAGCACTGTACTTTAATAGTGTACTGGTACCTACAAACGGGCACAATTTTTTGGAAAGGGGACATGCTCACGTCACATCTCTTGTCCGATATCAACATTCCCCGTTTTCAAGTTATGCTCGCGCGCAATTTTTTTGACATTTCCATCAGTGGGGGCTGAAGCCTCTTTCCCCAATATCTATTTCCTGGTTTAATAGTTTGGCGAGCGAGCGAAGGGAGTGAGCGGAAATTTGAGCTTATGTA